AGAGTGTAGGTGAGTGCAGGAGACAAACCTGTCAGTTTCACAGCTGGTTTCTCTGGCTGCAGGGCTCAGGCCGGAGCAGGGTGACACTCAGCATCACAGCACCACAGCACAGGGCCTGGGGTAAACACACCATCATATACTGTAGAGGCAAACACATACACACATACACATACCTTGGTTGGCTGCCCTCACCCATAAGACCAAGAGACCAGTGAAACACACCACCTGGGCAAGTCATCATATCTTGTCAAAGATTTTTTTTTTCCTTTTTGGCTCGTCGAAGGTGTGAACAACATCACAGACCAGATTGCCTGGCAATGGACTGACCATCATGTTGTAAGGAAGGGGCGGGGGAGGTTGAGAGGAACACAGAGTGAGAGAAATAACAAGAGAAAAGTATAACGTAAGATGAGAATGGATGTGTCTTTAGTAGCTTTACCGAAAGACGGAGTCGCTTGTCTCCCCGCATTATGAGCCCCAGTTGCTCGTTTGCAACTATCACGCTCACTCTTGACGCCTTATTGATGATAGAAGTTGGCGTGGACTATTAGCTGGGTTGTCGCTTCCTACGTCAAAAAGAGATGGCGCTTCCATCCTTTGGTCTCATTTCAGGACTTGTTTCATAAGTGCGTTCCCGAGCGGAGTGGACTCTGCGGATGAAAGAGCCTAAGGCAGTCTCCCCCACACCCTCCCCACACCCTCCCCACATCCTCCACCATCACACATTACCATCTCCGAGTAGATGGAAGTGATGGCAATTTCTTTAGGGTATTAGGAGGATGCTGGCCCTTTTTTACATTTTTTTTAGTTCTCATACCAAGTACAGTTTTGAAGAAAAATGATCATCAAGGTAAGAAATGTGTTACATGAGTTAAGGTGATAATTATAATTCTGTGCAAAGCAGCTGAGCAACAGAATGCAGGTATGTTCAGGAAAATAAACAGCCCCACTGTGAATTCTGTTGACATTTTGCAGAGAAAGAACCCAAAGTGAGTCAATTATAAAAATAAAGTAAACATGTTGACAGGAGAAACGAAACTGTGTTTTGACTGCTCCTGTCGAGGGAGGTTCCCCTGTCTAAAGTTTACATAGTAAATGATTATGCTTCACTGATTTGCCCTGGATATGTGTGTGTGCGCGTCTCTCTCTGTTTGAATGTGTGCACTCGGCGATCAACTTCTGCTAAATACTAATTACTGAATACTTAGTACGGATGCCCTTTCTATTGGGTCCCTTTAGTATAAACATTCATTATAGTGCTTTTTCTCCTTTGTAGCTCCATCATCATTATTCCACCACATCCCCTGAGGAGTGAGACAGAGCCGAGGCCGAGGCCGGGGCCGGACCAGGCTGGGAGAGAAAACACTAGAACCAGAGCGCCAGGACCTGGGAATGCACACAAGTGATATTTGTGCGAAGAGATCAAAAAGCGTTTACCTTTAGATGTTTCCCTGATATGAATATTCAACATCCTTATTGAAATCTAATTTGGGTCTCCTTGTCTCAGGGGTCTTTTCATCAGTGCCTGTTGCCTGAGGCCACTGCTGATTGACAGCCAAACTTTAGTAAAGAGCAAGCAGGAAAAAAGGGGGAGATCTGGTGGTGTTGGAGATGTGAGCGGTGTGAAGCTGGGGAGAGCTGGAACAGATGAGTGGAGGGGTACTGAGGGGGGGTGGGGGTGGGCGAGAGGGCGGCGGGGGTGATTTATTTAACCTCCTGGTGTGCATGCACAAACAGAATGCAGCAAATTATTGGGAACATAACAAGCAAAACAGAACTATTTCACAATATTTTATGATTTCAGGCTTTTTGTTCTCTAACCATGTTGTCCACATGGACACAGCGGTATGTGAAGAAAGAATCACTATACTGGCATTTCTTTTCTGAAAAATAAGCAATTGGATTAACCACTTAATTGATGGTTAATCAGCAACTAGTTTGAAAAGTGACAATTTTAAACAATTTCATGAAACAGCTTAAAAATGTCTCCTGAAGCCAGATTCTCCAGTCTGAGGAGTTGCTGCTTTTCTCTGATATGTATCAATGCAAATCAAATATCTTTAGGTTTTGGACTGTTGCTCAGACATAACAGTGAATCTGACGATGCTGACCTGGACTCTGTCACTGATGAAATGAAATGTTTATTCAAGCCTCATACTTTACATAAAAAACGTGGAAATTCTTGCTCATTTTGAACCTACTACAGTGATATTGGAGCTTTTTTTAAACCTTATACTTTAGGATTATAATTTTTATACCATTCCTGTCCATCTAAAGCTGTGTATCTCTGAATATGATTATCTTAAATGTGACATTTTTTTCTGATTAGATTAAGTAAAAACTGGAAGTTTGTTCATTTTAAAGAAAAAAGCTAAGCAATGTCTCTAATCTGAATACATGGCTGCTTCTGCGGGCTCATGAAAACTTTAATTTTAAAAACACCAAGGCAATTACAGGAATGGAAAAGGCATATGCGACATTGTAGAATATCATACACTACTGTAGATTAAACAGTATTAAAATCAGCTCAGCCTTAAACATCTACTGCAACAACAAAAAAAATGCAACAAGAATATTAATCCAAAATGCCACACACTGTATCTGCGAGGGACTATTTTATTGTGGAATAATTACCTTTATTTGTCATACTTTAATTACATTCTGCTAAAAATTGTTAAATACTTTTGAATGCAGGTTTTTAACTTGTACTGGAGTAGTTTTAATGTGTGCTGTTATTCTTACTTCGGTAAAGGATCTAAAAGCCTCATTCACCCAATCACATACATCGCCTTGACCAACACTCCCACACACACCATCCAATCAACCCCACTCGGGCCAACTCTAGGTTCAGTAGCAACCGCTTCAGAATGCACAGTGGAGGAGCTGGGGATCAAATCCCTCCCAATCAGTGCACAACCCGCTATTCCCTTCTGGGCCACAGCCACCCCCAGAAAGCTAAATTCAAATCCACCTTCCCCTGGACTCCAATTCTGGACTTAATCGGGATAATAAATTTGAGATTAATTAATAACACAAATAAACCGCAACCCTAGATCTGCATACCTGCTACACATAGCAAAGGGGCTGTGTTTATTTGTAAACCCTCTGGACCATGAGTCAGTAATAATAAAAGACTGAATTTACTGCTCCAGTCACCTTCAAGTATTCATTTTTTTCATGATCATATAGCAAGAGATGCACTGAATGTTGTAATTCAAATTTGCTTGTTTCAGGTGAGATGAGACGGTAAGATAATTCATCCTCAACTGTTTGATATTTCTGATTAATTGATGATTTTATGAGCAGTAGCAGAAAACATTTTGCGATAAGAGCCTCCCATTTTTGGTTAATGCTTTTTCTATCTCTTGCATTAGTAAACAGATTTTCTTTGTGTTTTGAATTGTTTGAACAAAATGTACAAAACAGATTTTACTGGCAAATGATTTATGAAAAAATAATGAGAACACTGGGAGCTAAAAGAAATACTTTTACGCGTCTTAATATTGAAAATATTAGGAGAAGTAAAGCCATTCTCATTAACAGCAATGCACAGACATTCATGTTTAATAAATATACTTTCATTTGTTATGGGTGAACTGAAAAGGCGTGCTATATTTACCCCATCAGTGTTTTATCTGTTCTGTTCTTGCCTTAAAACCAAGCATCTGACACTCCGTGCCAAAGGCGTAGCACCATATTGTTTTCTAAAATTATATTTCTAAACATTTGTTCAGATATTTGTCTCTGTTTCTGACTAAGGACCTGTGAACTCCATAACCATTCATTTGGCAAAAGAAGAAAAATCTGTACTCTCACTCTGACTGCAGGGGAGAGCTGGTTTGCAGTGATGGAGTGCATTTGTGTCTTTGCTTCTCAGGGTTATATAATAAATATTAGACTCTGAAAACAGCCTGAGCCTCTTTTCTGCTGTTGTGGCTCTGAAAACAGAAAACATATCGCTGCGAAGGATTCAAACCAAACATACCTGTGGGTTCTAGAAACAGACCAAACAATTGCAGGTGAGGCTGAAATGAGATACAGTAGAGCCATGTGCATGTATACACACACACACACAAACCAACACTGTCCTCATCTGGCCAGTGGGCTGAGCATGGTTTAATGTTATTATCACGCAGGTGTGGGTCTTGTCCCTCAGGGTTCCATTAAAATGATGCCCCTTTCAATGGAGGCTCCATTTGCTCTTTAGATTTAACACGGGCCATATGTCTAGCAGGAGGCAAACAGCTGATGGGGTTTTAATTGACAGAAATCAACATATTTGGTTGTGCGCATGTGTGTGTGCGATGGTGTGCTAATGGTGGATGAGCTTGGGCATCAGGGGATCCCTTTAAAGGGTCAATTATCTATCGAAAGAAAGAAAGAAAGAAAGAAAGAAAGAAAGAAAGAAAGAAAGAAAGAAAGAAAGAAAGAAAGAAAGAAAGAGATTGAGAAACGCTGCAGGTCTCGTTTAGCATTGTAGGACATAATCATGCACATCAGTGAGTGATTACAATTTCCTTCATTTTGGAGCTGACATTCATTGTCCATCCCAGGAACACACTGGGTGTACAGAGCACTAACTTCATGTTTCATCCAGCTCCACAGAGATAATGCGCCAGGCTGCAGTCAAATCATGTAAAATTACCTCTGTCACAGAGCTGCTTTAAGCTCAGGAGGGGACCCAAAACCAAAGACTGTGTCTGCTGTTGTGTTCAAACTCAATCGCTGCTATAACAAGAGACTGAAATAACAAGACGTAACATACGAAACCATTTTACACTCACTTAAATGGAAATATTTCTTGGATGATTGGTGAAAAATGGTTGAAAGTAGTTCGAAGTCCTGAAGGATAACAAAACGTTAGGCTAACAGGCGCAATGCAATTAGCACATAAAGCCTGTCAATGGCCTTCAGTATCACAGCCCTCTAAGGAGTGGGAGACTTGTAAAGCCTCCTGATCTATTGCCACAAAGTGATTAATCCTCCCTAACAATGACCAGTCTTAAACTGGGCCTCTATATTATTAGGTAGTCCTATATAGCATTTTAGCTTTTCACTAATTAGCATTCAGATCAGGGACCCAAGAGACAACCCCTCCACCACAGAGGAAGGACATAGGATGAGATGGCGACACAGTGAAATGTCATTAACTTGATGTTAATTACTAATTAATGGGGCTATTTCATTTACATGTATCTCTGGCTCTCTGATGGGCCCTGCATTTACTGGGTTACTCCTACCAGCCAACAAGTAGAGAGGAGGTGGGGAGGGTATTTCTCCCCCTCTCTCCTCTACTCTCCCCTCAGTGTTTCATCTCTGCTAATTAAATAGTGGGCCACTCATCATGATTATGTCTGCTTTTACAACACCATTTTGTGTCAGTGAGAGCACTCCAATAAGTGACTGGCCATCTCTTTAACACCGACGTGTTTTCTTTTTTTATATGAACTGTACATCAAAAAGCTAAATTCACTGCCAACCCGCTCCGCTCCTCTGACTTTTATCTGACTTGTTACTTTCACTCACTTGTGACCCCTCCTTTTTTTTTTCTTTTCATCGCCACGCGGAAGCCACAAGCCATCCGTCTCCATAGCAACCCGAGCCATTCGGTCCCATGAGGGGGAGTGACTAGCGTCTGGCCATTCGCACGTGGGTAGTGCCAGCTAGCCAACATGGCACACAGCATCCTGCCATATGGTGCCACCACATAAGTACTGCTGGCCTGGACTCGGGATCCGGGGCTGTAGTGTGGCCGGTAGTGTGAACACGACGAACCTGCGGTGGAACCTGCTTTGGACTGGTCTAAATAATGGAGTCCAAATAAAAGGTTCCCAGGACAAACCTTTATGGTTCCTGAAAAGCTTGAACGCTTTGTGTATGAAAAGGCTCTTTCGTGCAGAAGCTGGCGATATTTGCTGCAAATCGACATTCATGAAAACTTCATGGGTATGCTGTTAAACAGGAGGACCCCTTTATACATAACAGGAACTGTGGAGTATCTGGAGATTGGGAAGCACGCCGTGTGCTCGCCTCATTACTGATGCTGCACTGCCTCTCTGTGGAGATGCAGAGAAAATACACGCAGTATTTTCTCTGTGCAACATATTGAAGAAACTCAAAATAGTTGACAAAAATATATATTTTTTTATTCAAACTCAAGAGCTTTTAAATACAGTATATCTGAAACACATTAGAATACTGCATTTTATTTTATCTAACGTGTACATTACAGGTTATCAAAAACTATTTGACAGAAGGCTTTCAGCAACCTGTAGTAAGATATGTTGGCGAAAACTATTTATAATGTAAAAGGTTTACATTTTCAAGATGTGAACATAAAAAAAAGAGGCATGTGGGCATTTGTAAATAGTGCAGTGCAAGCAACTGTGAGATCCAGCATAAGAAAAAAAAAACTATTGAAGAGTGATTATTTTGTACAGTAGTCTTATGTAAGACACAAACACAAGCATGATCTGATGTCCCCGCATTTGTGTTGTTGCTGGATCATCAAAACCTATGTTGTGATGTCATCACAAGCTCATAACCATAACTATAGCCAGTAACACTAACCCTAGCCCAAAATCACACCCTAACGAACATTAATTATGATGATCCCGGAACAATACCAATACGTGGATATCGATACACCCAAGCAAAACACACTCTGTGTACGGCCACACTAAAAACATAGTGTTGGAACAGAATTTTAAGAGATTTGGGGAAAGATACTTGATTTTAGATAAGAGTTTTTAAAACGGTAATCATAATTTATAGCTACTTAGGATTATGTTTTTCTACCAAACACAAAAATAAATAGGTAAAGAAATGTTCTTTTTTTTTTTTACTCTGAAAGACGGAGAGCTGCGCTTTAAATAAATCCAATGACTTCATTCTTTTTTGTAACAAGTGACAATGCCAACATCAGAAATGCACTTCATGTTACACCTCCAAGTATACATGGAATAAAATCCTAGAAAATATAAGCCAATGTGGAGTTGTATGCCAATAACAGTAACAAAAGACAAAGAGGCAACAAAAATCCAACAAATAAGGCAACTATCAGCAATGTACAGCAATCAGCACTTGACACTTTGTTACCACGAAGGTGCATGTCTTGCAGTTTTCTTGTTGCTCAACTGAGGCACGAAACAATAAATGCATAGATTTAAGGTATCAAATAAGCATCTGGACCTAACATGAAAACAGAACTTGTAAAACTGTGAACGCCAAAGATAAACATTACATTTACCTAAACCTTCAGACGGAGTTATGCAGCTAGTTTTACGTTGCTACATAGGTTTCCAGTTCGATTGTACTGAATCCGATAATTTATCGTTATCTCGCCTGTCCCCTAACATTCATAACGTCACTGTGTAACTTGGAGACTATTTCAAACTGCCTTAGTGACAGCTAGCACTATCTATCATGAAAAGTTAATGGATGCCCTCCCAAATACTGATATCACTTCCTGTCTAGTGCCTAAGTAACAAAGGTATTAAGTGCGATGATAATAATGCAACCTAAAAAGGTTTCTTCTTGAAGAATCGTGTTGTCTGCATGTGTTGTTTTTACATTATTATGTTATCACACTGGTGATTATTTAGATATATTTGTTGTCTATTTAACACAATTTAAAAAAAAAAAAGTCTTTCAAACTCTATCCATATAAATATAAAATTACTCAAAGCAGTTAGGTGAGGTATTTCTATTCCATGCAATTACAAATAATGAAAATACAATTATTTAAATTAATTAATAACCTTTGGTCTTTCAACTTAAAACAAACCCTTGGAGACAACGATCAGCGAGAGCGCCTAGGCAAAGCCTTGCTGCCATAAAGCTCTCGGTGATTCGAACCACAGAAGGTAAATTGTATAGGACATTAAACCGCCTTTAAAGTAATTAGTGGCTGGGTAATGAGGTGTCACTCAGATCTCTCAGTGACGGCTGAGTGAGGCGTACTAATAAAAGACTTCAGGTATGAGAGGCTGGACTCTCCCTGTGTCATCCACGCCGCCTAACCCATCCCTGCAGGGCAAAAACAAACCACCTCGGTCTGTCACAGCACATCCATCACTCTCACAGCTCCTTCGGCACAAACACAGCAGAGCAGTGGGCTATGGCTTTCAGTTAACAATCTGTTTGATTTTCTTGTTCCTAAGTAACACAGTTTGTACACATGTTAAGTGTAAACTATTTTCCATGGAGCCTGGAGGTAGTGTAGTCTTTCCTACTTCCACGTTCTTCTTTAACTAGCACAGCACCCTTTAACACAGTTGTCTTCTTTCCAGGATCCAAGGTTAAAGCCCGACAAGACTTTTCAGTAACATTGTGCAGGCTCTGCTGTGTGCTGCTGTTGCAGTCAAACAACCACAGAGCCAATCAAACTTTTCATAATTGTTGTGTGCAGTTCCATCTATGCGCTGGATAATATCGCAGCTGCTGGTTGCCCGAGGTCATATTCAGGTCCCTCCAATAACTGATGATTTAGATGTGTATGTTGTGGTGGCGGAACTTAGTAGAGTCAATGTCAACCCGGCGTGCCTCAGCGAATGCCAGGAAGGTACAGAGGCCAAGCAGGTTGACCGTGGTGATGAGGGCAAACACAGAAGCCCATGAGCCTGTCGCCTCAATGAGATACCCCGAGAAGTACACCATTAAGACCCCTGCACAGGAACACAGAGTAGCTATAAATAGCAAAGCAGCACAAAGAGGGTAACAACATGTGCAGTGTCTTTTAAGTGGCAAAACTATTCAATTTGTCCCACATCTAAATTTCTACAGAGAAAATGTCAATCTTTTCTGTGTCCCTCACAGGACCACTAACTGTCATCCCCTCATCCCTGTATTATTCATCTGACACAAACTTCATCATGGTCCCTTGATGAAATATGAATGGGACAAAGAGACAAGCGGGACTGACATTCAGCACATCACCTCAAAGTTTGAATTTAGAGAAGTGAATCAATGATTTCACTTAAAAGCATGGAAGCAACTACTGGTAAAAGATTAATGACATGTAGATATTTTTTTAATTAATACAAACTCACCTGAGAAAGCACCGCATGTATTCATAACGCCTGGAAAAGAAATGTACAGTAGTTACTCGTAAGGTGTGACATTTTGCCATTGTTCTAAAACACATTTTTAGAACTTACCAAATAAAGCGCCAGCACAGGATGGAGCAAGATCTTGAACATTTACAGAAACACCACTGCAACAGAAAAACATGTCATTGTCAATTTGAACTTCAGAAATGACTCTAAATACATCCCAAACCGCAACAGAGTATAAGCCTAACTCTGAATGGCATTTTTTCCCATAAAAAAACAGATGGAGAGAAAATCTGTGTCTGTACTGTGCTACTGCTGAATGCATATTTACTGGTTTATTGTAAACATATCTATATCAATTCCACTCTCTTTTAGTCATCAAGGCTGGAACCAGAGTGAAGAATAGATTTTCTTTAGTGAGTTCGAAATATCATTAATGGAGCCACATAAAAACAAAATGAAATACATTTTTTGTCCACATCATAATCATTAAATTTACTGATTATTACTACGAGGTAATACATGTATATAACTTATACTTTTTATTTACACCATTCAAATATGTATAAAATGTAGTATTAGGGCCACAGTTAGAAAAAATCTATATTGATGATTGTTTTGAGAATAAAGTTAGAATTTCAAGAAAAAAATCAAAATGTGGAGATTACAGTTGATTCAAGACCAACTGCCACGGTTGCTGTACCTTCTGAGTTAGTGAAATCATACTTCAGAATCAGCTTTAGTAACAAGGAAGGAAATTATTTTTTTCTTTAAGCACATAAACACTATTTTATCAAACAGAAAAACCACATGGCTGGTAAAAGGCTGCTAATGAACAGATGCAAAGTCATTGATGGTTACCATGGTCATTGTTCCTCAAGCTTCCCCTTTCAATATGCAACTGAATACACTAAAAGAAGTGCACTCACAATTTCATTTAAAGGATATCTGATTATTTTTAGATATATTTTTGATAGGGTTAGCACTGTTGCCGCACAGCAAGAAGGTCCTGAGTTCAATTCCAACATCAGGCCGGGGTCTTTCTGTGTGGAGTTTGCATGTTCTCCCCGTGTTTGCGTGGGTTCCCTCCGGGTACTCCGGCTTCCTCCCACCGTCCAAAGACATGCAGCTTGTGGGGATAGGTTAATTGGAAAATCCAAATTGCCACTAGGTGTGAATGTGCGAGTGAATGTGAGCGCGAATGGTTGTCTGTCCCTGTGTGTTGGCCCTGCGACAGACTGGCGACCTGTCCAGGGTGTACCCTGCCTCTCGCCCTATGACAGCTGGGATAGGCTCCAGCGCCCCCCGCGACCCTGAAAAGGAGAAGCGGAAGCGAATGGATGGATGGATATTTTTGATATCTTATTGCTTTGAACAAATCCCTTAAAAGCCCCAAACCACCAAAGAACTGATCATTGTTTTCTTATTCTTTTTTATCCTTTTCTTTAGTCACTCTTTTTTAAAATGTTCCTCTGTGCCAAAGAGCTCCAGTGTTGTTCACAAGTTATTAAATACACATCAATGAATCATACCATTGTAGCGGCTGTACCTTCATTACCATAAACCCAAGTTGGCTTGCATACTTATTAGCACACCAAACATGCATTGATGCATTCTTTAAAAAAAATGCAGTATTTTAGTCGATGTTTATGCCCTGTTAGTAGCTGGGATGACGAATTCCAAGACAAACCAAATGTAATAAGGCACTACTAGGTAAAGTGGTTAAAACATAAATGCTTACAGACACTGATCCGATACAATGACAACTAGACAAACTGCATGCCTAATAAAAGCTGAGATCTGCCAAGTCTTCCTTGGTTATGCCTGAGCCAAGCAGCATGATTTAAGACTTTTTCAAATACAAAGTTGTACACTGGGGGGCGGAGTGGTGAAATATTTAACATTTAATTTCTAAGCAGCTATGCAAATAAGGGTAATATTCTGAAATTGTATCATCAAGTTTGAGTGAACAAAACACAAAACAATCTCTCAGGAAACACCACATTCACATGTAAAGCTAACCTCACATCTGCACAAATACCCACAATGGGGCAAAACATTTCTTACTAAGGAACAAGCAGGTTAAAGACCATTTAATATTTGATCCAGTCACGTGGGATCAATGTGTTCTCATAAGCACCTCTGTCGGGTAATGTTTAGAAAAGTTCAGGGCTGCAGCATAAGTGTGAATACAGCTACAGAGTGTGAGGAAACAATGGGTGGCAGTACCTGTGACTGAAGGTGGTGAGGCCCATGGTGGCAGACACAAATGCTACAGCCCAGGGGAAGGTAGTTGTGCCACACAGAAGAAGGGTAAACACACTGGACACACCCATGGAGAAAAACTAACACAGAGGGATGGACACATTAAAAAACCCCACATCAAACACAATTGTACATAATTCATTGCATAAGCAGTGTAAACAGGACAGTCATGCACTTTGTACTGGGAAGAAGAATCACACTAAACATGCAACATACAACAGAATAACTGAACAACTGAGAAATATCGTACCTGCATCAACTTCCTCACTGATGCTGTATCGAAGCCTGAGGGATTCAGAAGAGAGATTAGGGAAGTCCAATGTAACGATATCAGTGCACTAAACATTTATAATAATACTGATGTACAGTTTATTTCTCCTATTGTTTACCTTGACTGATGAGGTGGTCAGAGAGACAGCCACTAAAGAGGGATGACGGTATGGCCACTAACCAAGGAATGACATTGAACACCCAGCCCTGGAAAGATAAAATATTTTTGGGCTTTATTTGACCACATACAGCAGCCAGCTTCGTGTAGTGTATCAAGGACATGTGCTGTTTTAGTGACCTGTCTCAGTGATGATGATCCTAACAATTAATGACAAATAACTGTGACTTAATGTTGCTTTAAAAAGTCGACGAGTCTTAAAAATTATTTTTAGAAGATGGATGTAGAAACCCAGTGGTTTCTTGACTGCATTTTAAAGCCTAAGCAATAGCATTTTAGTCACTGTCATGCTTTTAAGGAACCAGAGGAACCCATGTTTAGGAAATATGGCAGGGTGCTAAATATACTTGTTCTTCAAGTATGTTAAATACAAATATACCTGACAAACCAGCTGCCTACATCACCAAATCTGGCAATCAAAGCGGCCACAGCTAAAAATCTTAGAAAAACCATGAGTTAAAACAACAAGAAAACCCACCAATTGTAGAGCTGTTATGAATTTGGGCCATTTTTGTGCTAGGTTGTAAACATGCTTTGCAGTGGTGTTTGTTAATTTGGACATTTTAGCATGCAAATCTATGGAGATTGCCTCTGTTTTGCAGCCAGGCTCAAGTGGCCCCTCCAGGAACTATAGTTCTTGTAATTTTTCCAGCTGCTTGGTCAGACAGATTTTCAAGTTAAAATGCTCAACATTGTACCATAAGTAAACATGTTTGCAGCCTAGTACAAAAAAGGAGGTTTTGGCCAAAAAAACCCACCTAATATCTACTTCCATAACAGTTCTGGGAGGTTGATTTTATTTTTCATCCTTTCTTGTAATCTCCTTCTTAAATTTCATTAAGTCTTAAAAGATGCAGAATAAGATGTCCAAAGCTAGTTCACCTCAGCTAATTTGAGTCACTGAACCAGATGACTCAATTGCACTTGTGTTACTTGTGCCTTTTGGAGCCTGTTTAATGCAACTACCTGACATATAATATTGCTGGCACCATTTTTGCTGGTTATTTTTTCCTACAGCCTATATGTGAATTCTAAAGAGTCAAACTGTAGTATTTTATTCGTATGTTATTCAACAGATATCTGTGTCTGTGCAATGCAGCAATGCAGTCTATGAATCCTCCACCGTGTCATTTAAGTGGTCACTTCTGGTTCCAAGAAACCAGGATGGTGATGGTCAAAATTCTAAAATCAAAGCTTCAAAACAGGAGTTTACAAAAGAGTGCATTTTTCCTTGACTTTTCCTCAAGCGCCACCATTTGGTCAAAATTTTAACCTATTCAGAGTTTTGATTTATATAACTGCAAAACGTAGAACATAGTTCAAAGCGCCTTTATATCTAATTCTACTTTCACAAAGTCACTCACATGGCTGTAGACTCTAAGTCTAGTAAATAAAGGTGCAGTATTTCATATTTTTATCCCTTAAGCCCTTTTTTTATTGATTGGTTTCTCTAATAATCAAAGGAGTCATGAGAAAATAGTTACCTTGGCATCGGGGAATGTGTCTTTAAAGAATGTTGGCAGCCATGACAAAAGAGTAAAGAAGGTGCTCGCCGTGCAGAGGTGCGTCACTATTACAGCACTGGTTATGAATGAAGAAAAACAAGTCTCAGTGAGCCCATTATAATTACACAACTACTTGCTCTGGGTTTTTTAGCACACAATGACACATTGACTTAGATACTGTTTTTCCTATTAGACAAAGGTTTGTATCTGTGCTATTTGTTATTAACCGATACCTCTATGAAGGTATGATGCATTATGTTAAAGTGAGTCAACAGCATAGTAATACTTACAAGCCTAAACTATCATGTAATATGTGGAGGTGTCAACAGGGATCAGATCAATTAAGACCACACATGTACTCTGTGTCGCTGAAAATGGAGCACATCAGGTGTATTACAGTGTATAAATATCTAGGTCATAGGGAGGGACTGGAAGGAAAAGACCTCAGAGACATGATTCAGACAGTTGAGGAACACCAACATAAATCCAATAATAAGATATTTTACATATTTCCACATTCCTCCACCTATTTTTTTTCTTCTAGCTCAACACACATGCAATGGTTACAATTAGTATTCTGAAATTTTGAGGTTGCAGTAAATCAGCTGAAGGATTACATCAGAACCTGAAGGCACACAGGCAAGATTATTGCTGCTTATCCATCTGAATATGAAAACAAGCATGCAGTACTGCACATGTGCACAGAGCATAAAATATGTGTGCAAAAATTATAGGTGCAATTGCACATAAAGTCACACCCTCATAAATAAACACAGGCTTTATCTCACCAGACAGCTGGTTGTTTTAAGAGCCGTAACCAATGTCTTTTGGTCAGTTTGGACTGGGCTCCACTGCTGCCCAGGGACTCCAAGGTGATTATCGGCCCTACAAAACACAGATAAAATACAGGAACATGAGCACAGAAGAAGATGCTGACTCCAGCTGAGCAGGTACAAGATAAGAGACAGCACAGAAACTACTGACACAGGTGAAGCATCACTTGCCTTCTCCTTTGAGTAGATATTTCCACATGCAGTAGGCCCACAGGACTGAAAGGAGTCCAGAAACATAAAAAACACTCTGCCAGCCGTAAAGGTCCAACATGAGGGAGCCTGCCCCCCCAATTACCAGAGTGCTGGGAAATAAAACCACAACAACATGACAAGTTAAAACACAACCCTGTAAAAAGACATTTCCACATGTGATTAGTATGACAGAATTTTATTGTGAAATTTCCTTATACATTTTTAAAGAAACAATAAAATCACCATATTTAATAGTAACTGCTATTAACATCAATAAAAGCACAAAAAACCTTCTTGCTTTGCAATAAAAACACCCAATAATGAACTAAGAAGGAACACTCAGCCTTTTCTCACTACTACCCAGTTATTGCATAACACTTGACTCACCCCAGATAGGAGCCACTACCCACGGTGCTCATGAGGAAGCCTCTTTCACTTTCCACCACCTTTTGTGAGCACAGACTTGCAAGAGAGGGGTAATGAACTCCTGACATGAAAACACAAAGCATAGCCAAATTTTAGAAGGGCTTAAGGTTCAGCGGAAGAACGTTACATATTATTGTCTAATAAGACAAACATAAAAATGTGACAGAAAATAGAAACAGAGTAGCACATATGATACTGTGCTGGGTTATTTGAAATAAAACAATGCAGTCAAATCAATTTAAGGACACTTTTAAATGACTAAACTTAATCGCTGTTCTAAAGCCAAACAAAGCAAAGTACAGATGTCTGTTTGACAAATCGAACATCCCACCAGCAGAGGTAAATATGTCTTGATTGCTCAACAAATATGAGAATTATTATTTGTTTTCTATATATAAAGTAGCCATGATGAATGTAGGATACTCAAAGATCTTGGATTCCTGGGATCTCACATTTTTAACATTAAAAGACTAGCTAGTGCAAGGGTGTTTTTAGCATTTCTTTGTTGTCTCTGCAGTGGACACGTTCAAGTCACATTCCTTGTAAGTGTGACTGACAAATTGAATCATTAAACACAAGACAAACGTCCGCAAACATGAACCAACAAGGACTTTAACATGTGTCTGCACGAGTTCATGTGGGTTAGATAGATTATTTCGACTTCCCTGATGCAGACAGTAAGTAGATGCATTGCAAACAGAATTTTGTAAAAAATGCCACAAAAAATAAATGAAAGACCATTTACTGGCAAATGCTCTTGAGGCATTAAAGGCAGCAGCAGTTGTGGTCAGATGAATAATGTCTGATTGCCCATCCCTACTGTTCTTGTGCACAATATCTTTAGAGCACACTGAGAAAATCTCACCAAATCTGGGGCAAACATTCACTTGGACTCAAAGAAAGTCACTCTGACCTCACATCGCTTTGTTGTCTCTTCAGTTGTTGCGAAGATGATATCTCAAGTAACCCTAAAGGAAATTTTGTGTCTTCAGGTTTGGCACGAATGTCTTCTTGGGCTCAAAAATGTTTCAAGGTCACATAAGGCCATAGATAGAATAGAAAATTACAAAAACGTTAAAAGGGGGGGGGGGAGTGGTGACATTTTATATTCAAAAGGTCAAAGATTTGCATATTTGCATGTTAAAGGTCTGAAAAATAATCAAAAAACTTCTGGCCCTCACTCAACACTGTACTTCAGAAGTCTTCACAATGGGAGTCCATTTAAACGGAAGCATGACTTTTTGGCAGGGACATACGACTGAAAAACAGCAATTACAGATGCAAATAAGTCTGGCAGTTATCGGGAACCCGAAACTGCGACCGATGGGAGTACCGGTACTGTCGAAGACCTTTTTCATTACCTGGATCTTACACCTCACTAATGTAATCTCAAGTGGTGATTCATCTTGCACACTGCTAATCTCACCTTGCAGTAGGCCCATGAGGAAGCGAGCTAGTGTCATAGAGAGGATCGGCTGGGAGCAGAAGTGGGCCAGGATTGGGGTGAAAGCTGTCATTGAACCCCAGGCTGCTGCAGACAGCAGGAGGACCTTCTCACCTCCCACCCTGTGAACAGAGCACAGATGGGTTGCATTAGCTTTAACTTTGGCCTACTAAGATATCAACTTTTGACTTCTAAGATATCAGCTTGGAAGAACACATTGAGAGGTTTTAATCTTTTGGATAACTTTGGCTGAAAATATAATCATAGAGAATATTTGATCTAAATAAGGTGAGCATTTAGATCAAGTATTTTGGACTGTTAACAGTTTCTAGAGTGGGAAAAAAAATACTGTGCAGACACCCATGCAGCTTATCTGTTAATGACACTGTGACTTAACATGACATTACAGGGCAAACATCTCGCTCTGTAGACTGAGCAAACACCACTGGGCTGCTTACGTCAGTGCCAGCACGGTTCAACATAAAGCGACTTGATTTTAATTACAACTCTAAAACTAGAACAGATGCCAACTGAAGACCCGCTTCAGAGTTCTGTAGACTCAAGATGATTCTCAATCATAAACCCAGAGCCTACCAACTTATAGAGCATGCGGTTTCTTACCGGTCACTCACGTAGCCTCCGAACACCTGAGTGAAGCAGTAGCCCCAAAAGAAGCTGCCCAGTACCATGCCGGACTCCCTCTTGCTCCAGCCGAACTGCTCTGCCATGCTGACGGCACAGATGGGCATCGCCACACGGGCGCAGTACAGGAGGCACGTCCCCAGCAGCAGCACCACTGTCCATATCCTTGCCACAGGCCTGCACCGGAGGAGAGCAGAACAATTTGAATTTGGCTGCACATCCCCCAACAGCTGGGGACAAACTTTGGCCTTGTTAGACCAGTTCGTAGGGGCTGTCTTATCTACAGTATGTGGCGGAAGCAAGTCCAACCTGTAGGGCATTCAACAGGGGTTAGTGGTGATGGGTTCTAACATGGTTTGGTTAGATTTATACATAAGATACTAGTATTCAAGATGTACATCATAACTTTATAATAGTTTATGGCAGTCTTTTCATAAAGGCAGCACTGTTATTTCCTTCTTTTTAGCCAAAACAGCACTGCATAAAAACACTGAGCCATGAAAGGCCAGAAAAGATACGTGTCACCACCAGATACAGCACTTCAGAAACCCTGAGAGGACCGGCAGGCATTAAGCGTCATTAACGATTTAAAAGTTAAAAACTCTCCCCCCTCCATATGGCCTCTGTGAGCCTTTTAGGCGGTGGGTTTGATTTAGTAGAGCTGTTAAAACATGGTTAAAACGAGCCCCGATGAGTTGGTGTTACCAACGGTTACCTTGACCAGCTGGTGTTGTGTTCAGGCCACTTCTTATGACACCCGGGGACGATCTTGGCGGGCGGGTGGTTGTCCTTGTGACAGACCAAATCTGGACTATAGGTCTTGCCATGTTTTTGAATAACTGCCATTCAACGTGAGGTGACGGACGGCAGCCTCTTCTCAACCGCTCCGGGTATACTGCCCTTTCTTCCCTTTCCGGTCGATCAGTGAGAAAAGTAAGCGTTCGGGTGAAAAGGGGAAATCTTCTCGTAAAAGTATGCGCGAAATCACATCATAGGATCCTGACGGTGAATTCCATACCCTGTAAAACTGGACTAACAGAGAGAGAGGAGGTGATCGCCGTATTCGAAACAGAGCTAGAAGGGGGGCAGTCTGTTTTTCCTGATGCCCTAGGAGGAGTAATCCACGTGTCAGTTTTTCTTCCCTGCCTCCTCCTCCAGCCAGCAGCCACGCAGCAGTTCTTCTTGTCGTCGCTAGGGTTAATCAGGAAGTGGTTTAGCCCGGCTGCTTCATCCGTTACCTTATCATCTGAAACGTCAGAGAGACGCCTGTGACTCCGGGCCCTCGGCGATGATGACGATGCAGTACTGCAAGTAGAAACAGAGCCTCCGCGGAGAACCAGGATGGGCTCTGTCGGTGAGCTGTCCTTGCCGGATGAAGATGTGATTCTCCCCGTGCTGAGATGCAGCTGTCGGGATGGGGCACCAAAATGCGCAGTACCTAGAAGGTTGCTGAAATGCTCCCCCGGCTATACTGAGTTAGCAGGAAATTGTTACATAACACGTCACAGCATGTATGCTGGTTGCCGGTGGGAATTAATGTACGGCAACAGTGTAAAGTAACAAACTTTTTGATAGTAAAATAAGAGGACAAATTAACAGCAGACTTCACCCACCCACACACACACACAAATATATATATATATACACATACACACACACACAAATTTATGTGTGTGTGTGTGTGGGGGGGGGGAGAGGTCAAAATGGATTTGACCAGTTTTTCCGAGGAGGAAGCTGAAGATGGCTGTAGTGTTAGATGTAGCTATGAGTAATGGTAACATCAGGTAGAAGGAATTCTCAGAAGCTTGAGAAATACCAAGGGCTGAGAGAGGTACTCAAGCAGATTTGAAGGGTGAAGCCAACAGTGACCCCCAGACTGGTAGAGTGGATAGACTGGTAGATCTCTGTTCAGAAGAGTGCAGTTCCAGGAACAGCAAAGACCCAAGCTTGAAGGATAAAGACTGCCCGCAGGGGCAAGTTAAGAATTTAAGATTTTTTTAGTTGCATATTTAGTCACCGTTTAGATATCACCGCAGTGTGTTGTGTCTCTGTCTCTATCTCATCCAATCACTAGCTTACTCTTCTGTTACACCAATCCTTTGAATATCCTTTGAATTTGAATCCTTTGAATACATCAGTGAATTTTCTCTGTGTTCTTCCTCTTTTTTTCCTGTCTGGCATCTCCATATTCAACATCTTTGTCTGGCACATCCATTTTCCCTCCTCTGCACATGTCTAAACCATTACAACCTTGCCTCTTTATCTTTGTTTCCAAAGCACTTAACCTAAGCTGTCCCTTTGATATGCTCATTTCTAATCCTGTCCATTCTTGTCACTCCCAATACAAATCTTAATAGCTTCAGTCTGCCTCCTGTCTTTTTGTCTGTGCCACTGTCTCCAAACCATGGATCCATACAAACACGCAGAGGCCTCACTGTCATCTTATAAACCTTCCCTTTCACTCTTTCTGCTGTCCTTCTGTCACAAATTCCCCGACAACCATTTTCACCCAGTCTACCCTGCCTGCACTTTCTTCTTCATCTTTCTTGTGCACTGTTAGTTGCTATGGATGACAGACCCCAGGTTTTCAAACTCATGTCATCTCACTAGATCTCCTCCTTGCATGTTCACCTTTCCACTTATCTTTTTCCTATTCATTCACATGTACTCCATCTGGCTTCTTATACTCCAGAACATACCTCCACCACTCCAGGCTCTCTTCCATCTCTCCCTACTCTCATTAGAGATCACCTATACATGAATGCATCAGTAATAAGTATGATTCACAGGCAGGACACTTTCTAGAGTTAATAAAGTGAACACTTGTTTCACAGCATGTCATTCATCATTGTGTCTCTTTCAGTGAATTCCTATAAGTGAAATTTTGATATTGTTTGTTTGGTAACAGTCAGTATAACATGGTAATGTTTAATGTAATTGGTAAGCTGTCATATACCAGAATTTTAATGGAATTAAATATACTTGATTGCTCTTTACCTCTACAGTTTGAAGTCTCTAGAATTGAAACACACCAAGTCTTTCAACACTTGCCCAGTTTAAAAATCCCACTTTTATTGCAAAATAATATCCCAGCAAAAAAAGAAAAGCACATTAAATTTTGCAAAACAGCGACTGGTTTCATAAATGTAAATAAATCCATCTGTAAAAGTGCCTCCATGTCTGCGGACATATTATCCATTCACATCTTTAAACATTATCAACAGTATTCAAAACACTGAAACTGAGGCTGCCTTTACACTTGATGGCATTCCGGTAATCTCCTAGATTTTCCCTCTATTGCTAATATTATATTTAGTCTGAAAGTCTTTGTGGGCATCTTTTTTTAATAATGCCTCAAGCAACAATACAGCATAAAATCTGAAGCAGATTTTAACTTTAAAAGGTAACAGTAGCTTCAAACACCCCAAGTATCAAGTTGTGGCTACTGTCGTCACACAAGAGTAGTAGCTGAAAGACCAACAGCTTAGCTGAGCAGACTTTTTTTCTAGGGATGGAATATATGTTTATTTGAAGCAGTGCACACTAAGCCAACCATTTATCCTGATCAAACTTTTCCTCCTCTAAGTGGTTACACACAGAAAGTGATAGCCTAATTTAGGCTTTATTCACACATTCCAATGCCAACAACTTTCCCTGCCAAAAGACAGAAAAACTAGTGTAACTTAAGTATACTAATTTTATATAAACAAATATGTAAATTAGAATACCAAGTGAAATACTTGCACGTCACTTTAGTGTGAGAGGTCATTTTAAAATGCCATCCAGTTTCCTGCACATTCTGAGTTAATAAAGTATCAAAAAGCAACCCTTACAAAAAGAAAAGGTTGTACTCTATATGAGTCAGTTTGTTGCGGGGTATGAATAGATAAAGGAAATGTGTCCATCTTGTGATGCTGTGGTACTTTTTTCACTTTGATCCTTATTTTGGGTCTTCAATGGTTCCCTTGCTGAGGTCAGTCATTTTAGGATACTTCACTTTCTTTTGGTCAAGTTCATTTTGAGCCCACAGCAGCAGCTTCAGGAGCTTGGCCAGCTTCGGGGTTGACTCTCTGTTTTCATAGTCTAGTACACACTGATTTACTTCACTCCACACCTAAAAAAACAGAAAGCAACATATAGAATAATGTCTTGTGTATGAAAATGAGATCACTTCATTTGATGTTCTCAGATTATAAAAATCCGTCTTCAGAACTACAGCAGACGTCACAGGATGAAGGTCACTTCCTGTTGATGGGAGTTTTTATCTCACACCATCACTAGCTGCTGCTCATAAGGGACTGTCTGATTGTTGGAGTTATCTTTGTAATACTGTTGGGTTTAAACTTAATAATATAAAATTCCCTGAATTGACTGTTGTAAATTCGCACAACATAAAAAAAGCTGAATTGAACTGAACTTTACAAACGCTCACTGGGTGAGAGTAGTACTGATAATTTAAATTGGCTTCTTATGTAAAACTGCTAGAATGTTCTCTTCAATCAGTTAAAGGACACTTTGCCTATACAGTAAATCAGTTTAAAATTATAATGTGTGTATAATAATTATAATGTGCTGATTCTACCTTTTGCCTCTGCATCATGTTAAGGAGGTCTCCGAAAGGTGACTCTTCTGGGTTGTCAAATGCCAGCAAGGCCAGCGTCCTCTCCATCTCTGTCAGACATTCTCGGCTTTCTTCCCCCTGTTCTGCTAGCTGAGACTGAGCAAATTCAAGGGCAGCTTCAGTCTCCCTCAAACGAATCAGCTCAATAAGATGCTGCTGCTGCAAAAACCAGAAAGCCATGGATGCAATCAGGTGTTAAAATAGCAAGGCATACATAACAAAGAAGCAGTTATTAAAGTACAAAGCTGAGATGTCTCACCTGGAGATGAAAGTAGAGGTAACGATTTGTGTCCAACAGCTCTGGGTGCAGACTGTTGATTAGGGCGATAGCATCCTGGATCTGTCCTTTCAAGATCATTTCTCTGATCTTAATTCTTTCATCTAAGGAGTCCAAGTCCACACTAGGCTCTATCCCAGACTCCATCCTGAACTTCTCTGCTGCCTCCTTAAAACCCTCTGTTGGACAGGAAAAAAAAAATATACATAAGAAAAAATCCGCTCCCAAAATCCACACTCACATCTGTACTTGGCTTCAGATGTCTGTAAGAATAGACATCTGAAACCCAACTTTCTGTAACAAAAACCACAAAAAGATACCTCACCTGTCACCAGGTAGTTCATAATGAGTCTGTTCATATCAGCCCTCTGGATGTGGACATTGTTGAGTTTTTCCATCCACTCCTCCCTTGTTATATCCTCCGGCTTCTCTGCATAACTCATTATGATAAGATCCTGCAGGAGTGCATCGGGGTTATGTTTACAATTTAAAAAGATATAATTTTAGACACCGAGAATATTGGCTTATGTAGTATTAACGGTTTATGTAACTAACTGTAATTCCTTCAGTGTGACTGCAACATGACAACATGACATATGAAATTCTACGTAACAATAGTTTGGGCCTTCTCTGAAAAACACAACACTGAAGCCTGACTTTCGTCAACACGAATCAAAACAAAGATAACCTGCACCTTTAAAAGCATATACTTCGGATAAACGCATCAAGGACGAGCCTTAATATATTTAATTATATTCTATTAGTATTTATATACTACATAATGTCCACATAATGGGTAGTTTTATCACAATACCTGAATATTTTGTCGCTACTTTCAAGCAGTAGCTAGGTAGCTAACGGAGAGTAAGCCTCTTCTTCTTCTTCCTTCGTCTTCCTTATTTCCGGTAGCAGAATGTGCCGCAGAGAAAATGCTGCCCCCTAGAATAAATCCGAAGCACAGCAAATGCACACTCCGTGACAAAGTCCATTGTGCATAAAACATACCGTTTTCAGTGCGGTTTGAAGAGGACCACAGGTGTAGAATAGGAGTTAGAACAATCTAAAAATGTCTGTATTCATGTCTCTTCTTCAAAAAAGAGCTTTCTTCAGTAATTACCGCGAAATTAAGTTAGTGTGAATATCCTGATAAATCCTAAACCTGATCTGTTCAAATTATCAACTGACCAGACTTCCCTTTGTATTGTATTACAGCTATTTAAACGATCATTTCACTGGTGAAGAAAATATATTATAAATGCATGAGCCACCCGTATTTCTTTCAATGTTGCTTCCAGGGAACCAGATTTTCTTGTAATTTTGTTAAACTGTTCTTGTATGCTTTTTTTTTTTTTTTTTTTTTGCAAAAAAACCCAAAACATTCTTAGTCAAGTTCATAGCCATTTTCAGAGAAATATATATATTTTGTCTCTTAGGGCACTTAACAGTTACCAATTTATCATTCAAGCATAAAAAAGCACTTAGTTCGAGGGATGAACCAGTGCTGTGTTTACACATACCAAATAAATTGGCAAAAAAAAAAAGATGTAAGTATCTTTATGCACTTTGTTACTAGCGATCTGCCATTTGTTTCAAGGATGGGAACAATAAACTCCGCCTCTTCCTGTGGCCTGTTAACTGTTTCTATGGTAACGACGCCGTTAAAGCTTCACAAGTCGGTTCAGAGACTAAATTGCGATTATTTATGAGTAAACTAAGCAAAGCGTAAATGTATTGGAGGAACAAACAGGTGAATCGACAGATTTTCACTGCAGGTAAACACTGTAATAAATAATGCAACGTAACGTTTGCCTGTTCATGGTGAAATGTTAGCAGAACACTAAAGTTAGTTAACCAAATAGCTTGGAATCTTTCAGCTAGTTTTTCTTCTGGTTCTCTTCAGTTTCTTGCTGTCAGGAATGGCCACCTCTCCCGGAGTGTTCAAAAACACACAGAAAAGGATGTCCAACTTTCCAGTCCTGCCCCCTATTGAAGGGGCACAACAGCTTGGAGAAATTGAGCAAATCATAGCCAAGAAGGAGGAAATAGCGGAGAAGGTAGCGGTCTCCAAGAAGCTGCTGAGACACAAAAGGAGCAAAATGGAAGTAAAGCAACGCCTAAAGATACTGTATGTCCTTTCTTCAGCTATGATTTATTTAATTTTTTTTTCTGTGTTAAAGTAGTCCATATGTCTGACATATGCAGGTATTTATATTGGTTTCTGTTTCCTGAAGTGTGGCAGTTTGTTGCTTGAATTTTTTAGGGTCTCTAAAGCAGCGGAGGATTTAAGACAGAACAGAGAGAGGGGAGTTGTCCGCAGCTTGTCCCCAGAGCCACAGCTTCCACCTTCTGTATGGCATCTACTTATTTATGCATACATACATACAAGTACTAGCTAAATAAGAAAATATTCCCCAAAATAATGGTATATTTCAATCCTTACTTTACAGATGCTTAGTGAGCAACGGAAACAAATGGTATGTGTACTTTTAAGTATTAAATTTGATATGTGAACAGACAACCTCATTAACATCTATGTTAATCCTTGACTATTTAATGTATTTCCACTTTTACAGATGAATTACAACTTCCTTAAGCAGTGTGTGGAGAGACGCGAATGTCCAGTTATTCAGCAGCAGTGGTTAGACTCGATTGTAGATCGAGTCCCAGCAAGACTAAGAGGCAGCCCCGAGTCAGAAAAACTGCTGCAGGAGCTCTGCAAGGAAGTCAGCGACAATTTCAATAGTGTAATTGTAAAGTACACAGGTATTTCCAGTTATTTATGTTGTATGAATGTACAGTGCAGTGCAAGAGTGTAGGTACTGAAATTAAAAACAGAAAGCTTTCAAAAATATGTTTTATTTTAATTTTTAAATGTAGTAAAAAAACAGTTTTCCAACAGTAAAGAAGAAAGTTGTATTCCTTTTTCAGCAGTAACTTGAAGTAATCGTTTTCTATATGATTTCATCAGTCTCCCACATTGCTGTGTAGGAATCTTGGCCCACTCTTTTTTACAACGTTGATTCGATTGTGGTTTGTGTGTGTTTGTTAATGCACAACTGGGAATCTGCAAAATTTTAATTGTTTTATTTTTGACCAAGTGTTAGCTGTTGGACAGATGGCCTCACATTTGGGTCTTGAATACTTTGGTATTCAATGGTGGACTCAGTAGCTCCAAAACAGTGTCAGATTATTCAGTGCTGTACTTCACAGCTGATATGAGGTGTTTCTGATATGCTGTGTTTGGGTTTCATCCAACAAGACACTGTGTGCCATGGCCAAACATCTCCACTTTGGTCTTGTTTGTCCAAAGGACATTACTCCAGAAGTCTTCGGGTTTTATCAGATGCAACTTTGCAAACCTAAGCTGTGCTGCCATGTTCTTTTTAAAGAGGAGATGCTTTTCTCCTGGAAATCCTTCATAACAAGCCACACTTGTTTAGTTTTCATGGTTCTGGCTTTAAATAGTTAACAGGTTATAGTCTGAGCTGCACCTCTTACTTTTTTTTTGGAGCGTCTCTGAGCATTGCACAGTCAGACCTTGGCGTGGATTTGCTGGGATGTCTACTCCCTGGGAACAGTGTGGCATTGCATTAAAACACACCTGAATCCTCCGGACTAGCAAACTAACAAGATGTTTTCCTTTGATAGAGGTGGTCACACAATCAGTTGATTTGACTGCAAATCAGATCAATCACTTATTAATTTCAATGGAAGCAGAAGGGGTGTGCAATTCAGTGAAAGTTTTCTTTTTCAAATCCATATAAATGTAAACATTTGCATGGTCTTCCAAGCAGCTTAGACACCATACCTTAGTTTTTCTGTGGCTTTATACTTCCCCAAAGTGATTTCTTGTTAAAACTGGGGCTCTGGGGTAGCAGGATTTTGCAGGACTTTTTGTTGCAGGTTTTTTCAACTCACTTTAAGTGTTTTATGGCTATTGTTATGTTGCACAATGACAATATCTGCTGATCATATAGATTAGAGTCTAAACATCTAGATTGTCTTAAACTAACCAGATATGTATCACTGGTATGTTGATCTCCTATAGTGGGCACAGTGTTAAAGAATCCACAGGCAGATGGATTGAACTCAGAAAAACAGAGCGCTACACAACCAAAGTGAGTCCTTAGTGTGCGTTTAGATCTGTGATTTAGACATAATGACTAATATTCATCAGTCTTTTTATGTTCCCATTTTTAAACTGTATTTTTGATCATTTGCAGAATTCTCAGCTTCTCCCGTCCATGGCATGATAGTTTTATCAGAAGCCGCAAGATGATAAAGGCAAACTTGCATATTCTTAATCCTGTAATGCAGACTCTGTTGGATCTTGGAAACACAACATTCTCTTCACTGGTCCTAATTGAGCTTTCATCATACAGGTGAGGGATGTGAACATAAAGGCAAACAGGCAAATTTGACCTGTCTCAGCAAATATAGACTTCTATTTGATTTTACTTTGGCTTCTGTTGATATAGAGCTTCAGGACCCGTGGATTCTAAGAGCCTACAGAACAAAATGGCTGTGGAGTGTAAGAGGACAGAAGATCGCATCATGAACACCTGGTTTCCCAAAGTCATCCACCTTTTAACAAATCAAGAAACTCTCAAGGGAGTTAAAGAGGAGAAAATTGATTCCTTTTACAATTGTGCTTCCACCCTAATTTCCAATCAGGTAAAATGATGCTCACTATATTTTAACCTGAAGAATGTCATAAAGACCATTTCATAATTGGCAGTTGACAGCTAGTAAAATCAGTATTTCACAGTGTTTCATTTAATGAAAAGCTTAAATATATGTAAAATGTGATTCTTAATTGTACAGTTAGTCTCATGCATATGTTTTTCTGTAAATTCGTAGCTGAAATCTCTTCTTCATGGAAGTGTGGAGGAGTTTGTCGGTGTATTTGATCCAAGCAATCACCACCGCTTGCCCATCTTTCGGATGGCTTTAACCTTTGACGATGAAAAGATGGAAATTTATCCCGCCTTACAAGATCTGGAAGCTGCTGTTCTTGACATTCTAAGTGCCATAACAAACACTTTTCAGGTGAAATTATCACTTTATGCCAAATGTGTCAAATTTATGCTAAATTTGCCAAAAATGCATTCAGAGCTGGTAATGATATCTATGACATTGTTCTACAGAAAGTACAAACTGTCCAGTCGTGGCTGGCACAAAACACATCTTTATTTATGGATGCCAAGGTGACTGATCAGATCCATGCTTGGGCTCAGGCCACCGTGAAGAGTGCTGTGCGCAGAAATCTAGAGGAGCCTGACAAATATTTCCAGAACTATGGTAACGTGCCATAATATGGTCATTTGTAATCTGCACTCCAGTAATATTGCTTCAGTTTATTGGTGAAATTTGTGGTTTATTTCGTAGTTGACAGTTACGACTGGCTGGTTAATGGAACTGCACAGGCTAAAGTAGAGACGTTTATGGAAGAGGAACACTCTTTTGATGAATACACTAAGGTAGGAAATCATAAAGTCGAATTCAGATTCTTGCCTTATCTTGTTTTATCTTGTTTTCTGGTGACTGTCATTGTGTAATCTCACTGCTTATTAAAGCAAGTGGAGGAGTTTCGTGCTCTGTCAAAGGAGATTATGAGCCTCCCATCAAAAGCCCGCTTCACAATGGTCCATCTGGACTGTGAGGAGCTGAAACAAGGGCTTGCCAACAAAGCCAAAGCTTATGCCGAAATACTTCTGAAGAAATTAGTCTCCAGGCACCATGAACAAAATCTAGAGTAAGTCAGTTCTTATAATACTACCCAACAAATCTGTCCTTCTATGCTTAAATTGGTCACATTTTAATTCTTGTTTGTGTGTGTGTGTCTGTAAAAGGATTTGCTCTGAGTTTGAAAACATCAGAATGAGAGCTTTGAAAGTTCCAGAGAATACAGAGGAAATGGCTCAGATGCTTGACTTTATACATGAAGCTAAGAGTAAAGGTCTTGCAGAGCTTAATGAAAAAATTAAGGTAAATAAACCAGTAATTGCTTCCACCTGTTATAAAAGCATACTAATTTTTGATGTCTTGCATCAATTCTAACCTGGTTTGCTGTCTCGCTTTGACAGGAAGCATGCTGCAGACTAATCTACCTCTTGGAAGTCCACGTCATTGAAGCAGAGGATATGGAGCTTAATTCGACTGTTTTTCTCTGGCCACAAAACATCCTTCATACTTTTGAACTCAGTGATGAGGTAATGTGGTAGCGTGTGCTTAGTTCAATATAACATGAGCGTTTTGTTTTGTTATGAATAATCCTGATTCTGGACGGCTCTATTGTTTTCCAGTTAATGGAGAAGGCCAAGAAGAAAGGAGAGGATGAGTTGGTTGCTAAAAGAGAAAAATTAATGGTGCAGCTTGAAAAGTTGGGACACAGGACTGAGGAGTTTAAATTTCTCTCTGAGCTGGAAATGATGCAACAGGTAGAGCATGGTTTATGTTTCAGAATACCTTTAATGAAAGAGTTTTTTCTTCCTTTCTTTTTTTAGTAAATTCTTTATTTGTATTCTTGCCTGTCCCATCTGTACAGTAAATATGTTTGTTACATTCTTTGAAAGTCCAGTGGATATGGGGAAGCAACAAAGGAGGGTCTAGGTCAGGGGTCTCAAACTCCAGGCCTCGAGGGCTGGTGTTCTGCAGGTTTTAGATATCACCTTTTAGATATCATACACCTGAATCAAATGATTAGTTCATTACCAGGCCTCTGAAGAACTTCAAGACATGTTGAGGAGGTAATTTAGCCATTTAAATCAGCTGTCTTGGATCAAGGACACATCTAAAACCTGCAGGACACCGGCCACCGAGGCCTGGAGTTCAAGACCCCTGGTCTAGGTTGAAAGAAGAGACAAGAAAGCAAACTTGGCAATTAAAGTATTTTCATTGATTAAACTGAAGAAGACAGTCAAAACACTGTCACCATTACTATCACCTTAAGTACTCTGGCCTATTGCTGAGTAGAGTCAGCTGCACAGAAGGGTAGGGCCTAAAGCTTGACAGCGAGCAAGACACACCCACAGGATCAAAAATCACAGTAGGCCATGCTAGGGATGTAGCTTAGCTTAAGAGACAGTCTGTCCAATATATGCCATCGCCAAGCTTCAGGACCTATGCCTGGCCGGGTTCGGTTTTTGCATAATAGTGATTTACTTCTGAACAGAGTAGATTATCCGTTGCTCCAGCCTGATGCTAAAAACTTCAATTCTGAAAGAACTGTAAAATTTAGCAAAAAGTGATACAACTTTATACTCCTGGCCTAAATTGCATGTTATTTTGACATATTTATTACACAGCAACAATAAGACTGTATTATTTGTTTTGTTATTTCCAGCTTAGACGCTAATCAATAGCAAAACATGTCAGCAGCATTGCTATAACTGGTATCTCTTTTTTTTAAATCAGTATGTTGCGGATGTCCGAATAGTTCAGAAACTTCTCCACGAGGCTGAGGAGGCTATTACACTCATTAATAAGGAAGAGGCCTTCTACAAGTGGGACCTGACATGTTTCCCAGAAGTTGAGATCATCAAAGAGAATATCGAACCATATCAGAAGCTGTTTGGATTTGTCCTGAACTGGCAGCGCACAGAGAGCAGGTCAGATTCCTATTTGATGCATGCGGTTCCTTTTTTAAATTTTTAAATCCTGCTAACCTTTTGTTTCTTTTGTGCCTAGGTGGATGGATGGCTCCTTCCAGGACCTTAATGGTGAGACGATGGAGGTAAAAGTGGATGAATTCTATAGGGAAATCTTCAAGATGCTCAAGTTTTTCCAACAGAAAAAGATTAAGGCTGCGCAAGAGATGGAGAGGATCTCTGAGAAGAGGCGACACCCTACTGAGGATGATGTGACAAAGGAAGAAAGCCCAACTATCAGTTTGTGTTCGGCTGTAATGGAGCAGATTAAAAACTTTAAGGTATTCTACACAACTGATATTTAAAAAGAGTTCATTAACAAAGTGTTGCTTTTTATGGAATGCCATTAAAAGGAATGTGTTTGTGTTTAGAAACATATCCCCCTGGTGTCCATCTTGTGCAACCCTGGCCTCAGATCTCGCCACTGGACCCAGATGTCACAGATAGTTAGCTATGAAATCACCCCCAATGGTGGTACAACACTACGGAAAGTTCTCAAGCAAAATCTGACTCCATACCTGGAAGACTTTGAGTCCATCAGTGCTGCTGCCAGCAAAGTGAGAAGATTTTGAAAGTCTGTGTGTGTTTATACAGGTTGTACTTTATTCTTTGTGTTAAATTATATATGTCCACTCTATTACTCACTACAGGAGTTTTCCCTTGAGAAGGCTATGAAAACCATGGTGGGCATTTGGGATAGTGTCTCCTTTCACCATCAACCTTACAGGGAGACTGGCGTTTCCATCTTGACCGCCTTAGATGACATTCAGACAATGTTAGATGACCAGATTGTGAAGACTCAGACTATGAGGGGCTCACCTTTCATAAAGCCCTTTGAAAATGAAATCAAGGTTAATATGAGTTTTATATTTGCATAACAAATAAATGCTGAATTTGCCTATTAAATTTGTATAATTTGGCACCTGGGAGTATTTTTTTTAACCTCCTACATATTGAGAAAGCTTTAACCATTTGTTCTGTGATGTTAGCAATGGGAGGAGCGTCTGCTTCGTATCCAGGAATCCATAGATGAGTGGCTGAAAGTACAAGCCCAGTGGCTTTACCTGGAGCCCATCTTTTCATCCAAGGACATCATGCAGCAGATTCCAGAAGAGGGGCGACTTTTTCAAACTGTTGACAGGAACTATAAAGAGGTTATGAGGCATTGTGTTAAGAACCCTAAGGTAAGAAAAAATGCATTTACATTTACAGAAAGTAAATCTAAAACTATAATTTTTTGGTTGATTAACTGGATAATTTGTTAACATAGATTCTCCCAGCAACCTCGCTACCTGGTTTGCTAGAGAAACTGCAAGAATCCAACACCCTTCTTGATAGCATTATGAAGGGCTTGAATGCATATCTGGAGAAGAAACGTCTGTTTTTTCCTCGGTAAAAATATTTTTTTGCAGATTTTATTTCTGTCCAGATCTTTCATATTATCACAGATTTTAATATGTAATGCTAACCCTGGTGATAGGTTCTTCTTCTTGTCCAACGATGAAATGCTGGAGATTCTGTCTGAGACCAAGGATCCACAGCGAGTGCAGCCACATCTGAAGAAGTGCTTTGAGGGTATTTCCAAACTAGACTTTCTTCCCAATTTGGATATCCAGGCAAGGCAGTCACACATGTTGTTTTCATTACATAATGGTGTGGATGATTAAGCCTTTGACTAAACTGCACAATGTTCTTGTTCAGGCCATGTATAGCAGTGAAGGGGAGCGCGTTCAGCTCATCCAGCACATCTCCACGTCCGAAGCCAAAGGAGCTGTGGAGAAGTGGCTGATTCAGGTGGAAGACGTGATGCTTCGGAGTGTTAGAGATGTAATAGCCCGGTCCAGGGTGGTGAGATCACTGTTCTTCATACCTAATTTGAAATAGTATTATGGTTTACTTACAATGCTGTCATACTGTGTATGATCCTGTGCATCAATATATATATATATATATATATGCATGTGAGTCAGTGACAAATGAACAGATGTATATGGGTGTCTTTGGCAGGCATACGCTGAGACTCCACGGAGCCAGTGGGTCACGGAGTGGCCTGGGCAGGTGGTACTTTGCACCTCACAGATTTTCTGGACATTGGAGGTTCATGAGGCTATCAGAGCACACCCTAACGTGGGTCCTTTTACATGTTTCTAATAAAGAAGTGATGTTTCTCACTCTTGATCAAGTGACCTGAGTATCTTTTACAATGAACTAGACACCTTAAAAATATCACCTTGGGAAGAAACTAAAATAGTAGCCGGCTGTTCTCTGCAGGGTTTAAAGAACTACTATCAGAAACTTCAGAGTCAGCTGAATGACATCGTAGAGCTGGTGAGAGGAAAACTGGCCAAGCAAACACGGATTACTTTGGGAGCTCTGGTCACAATTGATGTCCATGCCAGGGATGTAGTCATGGAGCTTATTGAGAAAGGTACTGCAAGAACAAAACAGGTTTATTAGTATTATGCATTATTATATAAAATACCTTTGAACGATAAAGAGAAAATGCACAGCGATTAAAATGTTTTCTGGATTTTTAATAGGTGTATCACAAGAAGCTGACTTTCAGTGGCTGGCCCAGCTTCGTTATTACTGGAGTAGTGATAATGTTCGCGTTCGCATAATCAACTGTGATGTTAAGTATGCCTATGAGTATCTGGGGAACTCGCCACGCCTGGTCATCACTCCTCTGACTGACAGATGCTATCGAACCCTGGTAAGAAAACATTTCTTAAAAATAGTTAATTAAATATGTTTCAGAACTTGCATACTTTTGCTTTTGCTGTAGGAGTGATAACTGACATCATATTTTAACTATTCTTTTTGAGATTGGAGCTTTCTACATGAATTTGGGTGGTGCACCAGAGGGTCCAGCTGGAACAGGAAAGACAGAGACAACTAAGGATCTGGCTAAAGCACTTGCTGTGCAGTGTGTCGTCTTTAACTGTTCAGATGGACTGGATTATCTGGCTATGGGAAAAGTAACATCCACAAGTTGAAAATTTTCCTTTCTAATGCTTTTTCAGACATTCAAAACATGGTTTACTAACTTGTAATTTCATATAGTTTTTTAAAGGTCTTGCTTCATCTGGTGCGTGGGCCTGCTTTGACGAATTCAACCGTATTGAGCTGGAAGTGCTGTCTGTAGTGGCCCAGCAGGTTCTCTGTATTCAAAGGGCCATCGAGCAGAAGCTGGAGTACTTTGACTTTGAAGGGACCATGCTCAAACTCAATCCCAACTGCTTTGTGTCCATAACAATGAACCCTGGCTACGCAGGACGATCAGAACTCCCAGACAACCTCAAGGTCTTTTACCAGTAAAATATTTTATCACACATAGCATACACATTGCTGTTCTGTTTCAAATCACACATGCTGGTGCTCTACACATCCTTAAGTATAATCTGAAAAACGTATGTTACTGTTCAACGTTTTTTTATATTTTCTCTGTGCAGGTTTTGTTCCGAACAGTTGCCATGATGGTGCCCAACTATGCACTTATAGCTGAGATATCTCTGTATTCATATGGCTTCTTAAATGCCAAACCTCTCTCGGTGAAGATTGTGATGACCTACAGGCTTTGCTCAGAGCAGCTCTCCTCTCAGTTCCATTATGATTATGGCATGAGGGCTGTCAAAGCTGTCCTTGTGGCTGCAGGAAACCTCAAGCTCAAGTATCCCAAGGAGAATGAGGACATTCTGGTATTTACTAAACATCGATCTATACTTTGTGTCCTGATTGTGAACTTTATTGCCAGTTTTTGATCCTTTCAATTTCTTATTCATGTTGTAACATTCAGCTCCTGAGATCCATAAAGGATGTTAATGAGCCCAAGTTTCTCTCCCATGATATTCCGCTGTTCAATGGAATCACCAGTGATTTGTTCCCAGGCATTTGCCTTCCCGAGGCTGATTACCAGGTCAGTGTTGATTTGGGTCCATATTGTTTTGCCCAAAATCTAACAAAACCCTTTATTTGTGTGGTTATGTGTGTTAGAATCTGTTTTTTGTTTGTCAGCTGTTTCTAGAGGCTGCTAAAGAATGCTGCAAAAATCACAATGTACAGCCAACAGACGTTTTCATACAGAAGATGATCCAGACCTATGAGATGATGATTGTTAGGCACGGGTATGTTATGTGTTTCAGTTTCCATGCTGGTGTACTATATTATGATTTCCTGCTTGATATTCACATGATTGGAAAATGGCTTGGAGGAAATGATCTAAAATTCAATATGGATTTATAAATATTGTTATAAATACTGTTTTTAAGATTCATGCTGGTGGGAGAGCCTTTTGCTGGAAAGACCAAAGTGCTACATGTTTTAGCTGACACTCTGACTCTCATGAATGAGAGAGGACACGGCCAGGAGGAGAAAGTCATCTTCAGGACGTTAAACCCAAAGTCAATTACTATGGGACAGCTGTTTGGACAGTTTGATCTAGTTTCTCATGAGGTAAACCCGTGCCATCGATCTTTTGTTTTACAGATAAATAAAAGTGTGTTTACAGTATTAACATAGAGGTGGCTTTAATTTTTTATCCTCATTCTTAGTGGACAGATGGGATTGTGGCTAACACGTTTCGGGAGTTTGCATCGGCTGACACTCCCGACCGTAAATGGGTGGTGTTTGATGGTCCAATAGATACACTATGGATTGAGAGCATGAACACGGTGCTGGATGACAACAAAAAGGTACATGTTGCACAGTAAAATAATGTATATAATATATATAATGTAATTATATATATTTTTCTGTTTTTCATACCTTTTTATTTTTTGCTTCCTTGACAGTTGTGCCTGATGAGCGGTGAGATCATCCAGATGTCAAGTCAGATGAGTTTGATTTTTGAAGCTATGGATCTATCACAGGCCTCTGTGAGTTGGATGTTTGCAGTTAATAAAGTTATTTGCTAATCTTATTTTAAAATGTAAAATAATTTCTAGTTAATTTGAAAAATGATAACCTTTCTTTTATGAAGAAAACTGTCTTTCTAAAAGGTGCTTGATAAGACTGTTACTGTAGCATTACTGTAGCTTGAATTGATAGGATGCTTTTTTCTGCATTTTCTCCAAATGAAGCCAGCCACAGTCAGTCGATGTGGTATGATCTACATGGAACCATCTCAGCTGGGCTGGAAGCCCTTGGTGCTCTCCTGGATGAACACTCTTCTTGATGATCTTCAGACTCCAGACAACCGTTCCTTGTTACTGGAGCTTTTCCACTGGCTCCTGCCACCCGCTCTCACAATGCTTCGAAAACATTGCAGAGTAAGTGGCCTCAGAATCCAGGGAGTGTATGTGTTATTCACATTATATCAATACAATAATTATTTGACATGCTAAATTTTGGTTTGGTTTACAGGAAGTCGTTTCCAGGAGCAACAGCAACATTGCGGTGTCTTTGTGTCGACTGTTTGAGATGCTTCTCACTAAACCTGTGAAGACGGGTCAAAGTGATAAAAATATCCGCTGCTGGATAATGGTAAAAGGGCTTATATCTTTTAGAATTTGATATAATATTTGAACTTATTTATTCAAAATACTTGTTAGGATCTGCACCTTGCAAATGTTTTGCAAAAATGTTTTTTGTATATGCACTTTGCACTGCTACTTTTTCTTTTTGCCCGCAGGCAGCATTTGCATTCTCACTCGTGTGGTCTGTGGGTGGGAGCTGTGATGCAGACAGTAGAGAGAAGTTTAGTAGCTTCTTCAGGTTGATTGTTGCAGGACAAAAAAAAGAACATCCTATCCCTGAAACAGTGGGAAAATGGGAGTGTCCATTTGAGGAGAAGGGGCTAGTGTATGACTATTTCTATGAGGTATTGTGTAATTATGTCACTCAGAAGACTTTAGCTTGTGTTATACCAGAAAATCATAATATGTTCTTTCATTTCCAGTTTAAAGGGAAAGGCAAATGGTTTCACTGGAATGAGGCCATTAAAAACATCAACCTGGGCGACAAAACCACCAAAGTGCAAGAGATCATTGTACCCACCATAGACACAGTTCGCTACAACTACTTGATGGATCTTTGCATCAACTACGAAGTGTCAGTATTCTCTGAGGGATTGGTCAAAACTGTTTTTGTTGTTCTTTGCATCTTTAGTACTATGATAATAGTGCATAGCCTGAACTTATATACATTTAATCAAACATAATACATTTAAAAATATATGTTTTGTTTTGCCTTTAAGTCCTTCCCTGTTTGTGGGTCCTACTGGAACTGGAAAATCTGTGTATGTGAAGGAAAAACTCATGAATAATCTGGACAAAGACCAGTACCTACCCTTCTTCATCAACTTTTCAGCCCGCACAAGTTCAAACCAAACTCAGGTCAGTGTGAGAGACATGAGACATACAGTTCTTAACAAATGTATTAGACCACCTGTCATACAAATGAGAAAATAAATATTAACAAATATTTTTTTGAAAATCTGCCTAAAACTTACATAAAAGGAACAAGAAACATTTTATACCCAAATTTGACCTGATGCACTGGTCAAGAGCATAACTTTCAACCAAAATTTTTTTTTTCTGTTCAGGAATGCAAGTAAATAACTATAATTTGCCATCTTAATTCCAAAATAATAATGCGCTTCAGTAATTATTAATGTTAGCCTTAAAAATCTGATTTTGATCAAAGAAGTTGCACATACTGCTAAATTAACCATTGGTGGTCTAATAAATTTGTTAAGCACTGTATGTGAAATAATGTCCCTGTAGAGAAACAGCTTTAGTGATCATATATTATGTGAGGTGTTTGTTTGTTTCTAAACAAATAAGAGGTTATAGTTATTTAAATTGTATTTATTCTGTTTATTTCATCATGTAGAATATCATCATGTCCAGGTTAGATAAGAGAAGGAAGGGCGTGTTTGGACCCCCCATGGGAAAAAAGTGTATCATCTTTGTAGATGACATGAACATGCCTGCACTGGAACAGTTTGGAGCACAGCCTCCTGTAGAGCTTCTTCGACAGTACATAGACCACGGAAACTGGTATGAACCACCTACAATTACAGGACAAATTCATATTCTAATGAGAGAAATGTAAATATATGAACAGGACTGAATTCACTAGATTAGAGCACTGTTCTTCAAACAAACAGACCTCATCTACTCTTGCAGGTATGACCTGAAGGATACCTCCAAGATCACTCTTGTTGATCTCCAGATCATCTCAGCTATGGGCCCCCCTGGTGGGGGAAGGAATGCTGTGACTTCACGCTTCTTGCGGCATTTCAACATTTTTAGCATTAATCCCTTCAGCGATGACACCATGGTTCACATTTTCTCCAACATTGTGTCCTTCTATCTTAAAAACAATCAGTTCCCACCTGAATATTTCACTGTTGGCAACCAAATAGTGACAGCAACAATGGAAGTGAGTGCTGTAAAAACAGACATTGGGAACACAAAAACCAGAAAGCTGGATAAATTCATTTTGCAGTTGTATAAAAATCTAAATCATCTTTACGTTTACGTTTTTTATTTTCCATAGGTCTATAAGAAAGCCATGGAGAACCTGCTTCCAACTCCAGCCAAGTCTCACTATACCTTCAACCTGCGGGACTTTTCACGTGTTATCCAAGGTTGCCTGCTGATTAAGAAGGGATCTCTGGAGAGCAAACGCACTATGATACGGCTTTTTGTCCATGAGGTCTTCCGTGTCTATTATGACCGTTTGGTAGACGATGACGATCGAGTGTGGCTCTACACGCTGATGAGCAGCATTGTGAAAGATCACTTTAAGGAATCCTTTCACCAGGTCTTTGATCACCTGAAACAAGGCAGCAAAGTGAGCTGATAGTCCCTTTTCCTTACTATTTCATGTGCTTTACTACTTTTAAAATGAAACTATACAGCAAAGAAGATGTGCTTGCAGAATTACATCTTGATGTGCCTGAATCTGTGACATTTAAATTTGTGAATTTCTAGCTGGTTGAAGAAGACATGCGAAATCTTCTGTTTGGTGACTACATGAAACCTGACCTGGAGGATGATGAGCGTTTGTATGCTGAGGTGCCCTCAGTTGAAAACTTTGCCGTGGTGGTAAAGTCCTGTCTTGAAGAATACAACCAGATGCATAAGAATCGGATGAACCTTGTCATCTTCCGGTAAACAGCTTTCAAAGAGGATATAGTTTTTATAGATTTTCTTTCTTTCTTTAGCAATAACTTTACAAGTTGACTTGACTTTTGTGCAGTAAATGAATGAGATATGTTTTTATCTGTAACTTGTAATTTGTGTTTAAACTTAATTAACTGAAAATAAAATCTTATCTAGCTACGTCCTGGAGCACTTGTCCCGCGTCAGTCGTGTGTTAAAGCAGCCAGGAGGAAATGCCCTCCTTGTGGGAGTGGGAGGAAGTGGACGCCAATCCATCACCCGTCTGGCCACATTCATGGCCCATATGACCATGTTTCAGCCAGAGATCTCCAAGAGCTACGGTATGACTGAGTGGAGAGATGACCTCAAGGTAAGCTGTAAAGGCTTCTGTTACTTCTGTTTAATACAAGTGTGTTTTGGTCGTATTATTCTCATTAGATTCTGTGGCTTTTTAACAGTCCTCGCTGCTGTACTCTGTCTCACTGCTTTCCTTTCAAATAAAGATGTTGCTAAAAAATGCTGGGGTGAAAGGACAGAAGACAGTGTTCTTGATAACTGATGCTCAGATCAAAGATGAAGCTTTTCTAGAAGACGTGGACAGTGTCTTGAATACAGGAGAGGTTCCCAATCTTTTTGCCATAGATGAGAAACAAGAAATCATAGAGGTAGGATATTATAATCTTATATACATACCTTATGAAATTGTATGCAATAAAATTCTCATTTCATCTGTTTTTCCCCAGGCAGTACGTCCCATTGCCCAAGCTGGTAATAAAAACTTGGAGCTGAGCCCTTTGACTCTGTTTGCCTTCTTTGTGGCACGCTGTAAAGAGAACCTGCACGTTGTTGTGGCATTCAGTCCTATTGGAGATGCCTTTCGAAATCGCCTGCGCCAGTTTCCAGCTCTTATTAACTGCTGTACCATTGACTGGTATCAGGTAGGGCACTATAACATGCGTGCATTGTAATATACTACATATAAAAATGTCTGAATCACTGAAAACTATATAGGTATCTGTTAAGAGTCAGCTGTGCTCTTGGATCTGGAAATAAAACCAAAGAAAGAAAATAGGACATGTAAATTCATTAGCAGACCCTGTTCTGTCTCTTCACTCTTGTCTTTGTATGCCATCTTTGATCCTGCCCTTAGTATCGCTTTCCTCTCTGTACTTTGACAGCCATGGCCTGAGGAAGCTCTTGAGCGAGTAGCCAACTCCTTCCTGGAGTCACTACAAATGAATGAAAATGAGAGGCAGGAGGTCATACCTATCTGCAAGACATTCCACACCTCTGCCAAAGAGCTTTCACAGAGGTATGACAGCTTTATTCATACTTTTCAGAATGAAATGTAAAGTACATTTCTAATCCTTTAATTATGCTGTTTTCACTTGCAGATTCCTTTCTGAGCTTGGTCGCCATAATTATGTGACACCCACATCCTACCTGGAACTAATTGCAGCTTTTCGTCAACTTCTCACTCAGAAAAGAGACACTGTCATGAAGGCAAAACAGAGGTACACCAATGGCCTGGATAAGCTAGCCTTTGCTGAATCTCAGGTATATGAAATACTATTTTCACTGGAGCTGTTTTGTCTATTCTCTATTTCTTGTATTATTCCTATGCAGTAGTTTATTTGAGCAATATATTTCCATAGGTGGGTGAGATGAAGAAGGAACTTGTAGACCTACAGCCTAAACTGGAACAGGCAAAGATAGAGAACACCAAAATGATGAAGGTGAATACATTTCACACAATCGATCAACATCAGTATCCTCCCCAGAGTACATATGTATCAGAACATACATAAATCCGTACTAAATGTAAACATGTATTAATTTTCAGGTTATCGAGGTGGAGTCTGTGGAGGTGGAAGCCAAGAGCAAAGTTGTGCGGGTTGATGAGGAGGCAGCAACCATAAAAGCCAATGAGGCCCAGGCTTTGAAGGATGAGTGTGAGAGTGACTTAGCTGAAGCTATCCCTGCCCTGGAGGCTGCTCTATCTGCCTTGGACACTTTGAAGGTGAGCGCCCTTCAGCAAAATATCTTTTTTTCATTACATATCATTGCAGTTAGATAACTGAGCAAGTCAAGCTGTCCATTTCTTTTCAGCCCTCTGATGTCACAATTGTGAAGTCTATGAAAAATCCACCTTCAGGGGTGAAGCTGGTGATGGCAGCTGTGTGTGTGATGAAGGAGATAAAGCCAGATAAGATAGCTGATCCAGCTGGGACTGGAAAAAAGGTTAGACTGAGTACAAAAATTAAAAGAAAAATTAAATCATGTGAAATGATTAAAGTCTGGTACTTATTTTTACTCTTTTAAAGCACAGCTAAACCTCATTCGAATGATATAGTTTTTCATTCTGTTAGAAAAAGGGTATAAACACAGTGAGTGACATGTTTGCTTTATTATCTAGGTTTTTGACTTCTGGGGTCCGAGCAAGAAGTTGCTGGGTGATATGAATTTTTTACGAGATCTTAGAGTATATGACAAGGACAACATTCCTGTGAGTGTCAAAATTATGTCACGGTTAAAAAACATTCAACTTGCACTTACCCCTAACTTACTCGTCTGTCTTTGGGTTGCAGGTCCATGTGATGCAAAAAATCCGAAGTGAGTACATGACTAATCCCGACTTTAACCCCAGTATAGTGGCAAAGGCATCCTCTGCAGCGGAAGGCCTGTGCAAATGGATCCAAGCAATGGAAGTGTATGACAGGGTGGCAAAGGTGCAGTGTGTTTGGATATTCAAACCATTTGTAATTGTACCTGCACACTTACTTTTTCACACATTTCTTGATTTCGTCTTTGGTTTCAGGTTGTGGCTCCTAAGAAGGCCAATCTTGGAGTGGCACAGGAGTCCCTGGCAGCTACCATGGCCCTTCTGGACCAGAAGAGGGCTGAGTTGAAAGAAGTTGAAGATCGCTTAGCAGCTCTTCAGAAAACTTTTCAAGAAAAGACAGAGGAGAAAGCCCAGCTGGAATTTCAGGTGGATTTGTGCGCCAGGAAGCTGGAAAGGGCGGAAAAACTCATCGGTGGTCTGGGTGGAGAGAAGACCAGGTCATGAAGACACTTATAAATATTTCAGTGCCAAGCAGTGAAGCTGAGGAGACTTGTTTATGCGTTTACTTATAGGTCTTCTTCTTCCTCTTTGTTTTATTATTATTCATTGGACTGTAGAGTAAAACATTTGAAAATTTTGTTCACTGACTGGGAGCAGTTTGCCAATTTCTCTAATTAAGACTCACGTCTGAAGTATTATAGCACCACCAATGGGTGGAAGTTGGAAGTATGTCCATGCATGCAGATTTTTATCTGTTAGCCTGCTTCTTTTAAGGATGTAGCAATGGATTCCTTGAATCATTCAGAGTTCAAGCTATATTTCAAGAATTTAAGCTATACTTAACTTTCTGAAGCTTTTTCCAGCCTTCACCAAAATTGGCGCAGATAAAAGTTAAATACCAAGCTTGAAAGACCAAGTATCACAAAAGCAAGCAGTTGGCATTTACATTTTCAAAACTGTTAGAACCAATAAAAATTAGCAGTTAAACCACCAGACGGCAAGTAATTTCCTGTAATTATAACCTCTTAAAAGTTTATCTGCGTCACTCGGGTAGCTTCAAAATGAAAATGTGTTTTTACATCTTATAGCTATGCTTTTATCATAGTTACATGAAGTTGTTATGACAACTGTGCCCAGCTGACCTGCTTGGCCTCCTTATTGCCTTGTTCTGTTGCTTGTTTCCTGCAATTTGAAGAATAACTGCATACCAGTGACTGAATGTGACTATTTACTCAGATGGTCTAAAGCAGCAGACGACCTGCAGAACACGTATGACAATTTGACCGGAGATGTTCTTATCTCTGCCGGTGTCATCGCTTATCTGGGGGCTTTCACAGCTGGCTTCAGACAAGAATGCACCAAGTTGTGGACCAAACTGTGCAAAGTACAAGTTCTTCCTTCTCTCCTCTCATTTTTATGAATCTTTGTCATACATATGTATTTCTATGTCTATATCACTTACCTTAGTAAATAAATATCTGTATTTGCACCTCCCTCTATCTCTAGTCTAAGAACATTCCATCATCAGATGACTTCTCACTCAGTAAAACTCTGGGGGATCCCATTAAGATCAGGGCATGGAACATTGCAGGGCTTCCCAGTGACACTTTCTCTATTGACAACGGCGTCATTGTCAGTAATTCACGCAGATGGTGAGTTTGTATTTCTTAAATTTGTGAAACTTATGTTGAAATATTTGTGAAAAGATCCTTTTCATTTATTACCTAATGCTAATGTTCTTGTAGGCCCTTGATGATTGACCCTCAGGGTCAAGCCAACAAGTGGGTCAAGAATTCAGAGAAAGATAACAGCCTGAGTGTAATAAAGCTAACAGATGGGGACTATATGAGAACTTTAGAAAACTGTATTCAGTTTGGAACACCACTGCTGCTGGAAAATGTAGGAGAAGAACTGGACCCTTCTCTGGAACCATTGCTGCTCAAACAAACCTTCAAACAAGGTGCTAGAAGTATAAAATGGATGCCAAAGAATAATTTTGAATTTAGAAAGAGTGACAGTTCTTAGCTCACAATTTTTTTTTTGTTTCTCTTAGGCGGTGTTGATTGCATCAGGCTCGGGGAGAGTGTGATTGAATACTCCAATGATTTCCGTTTCTACATCACAACTAAGCTCAGAAACCCCCATTACCTACCAGAGCTGGCCACCAAAGTGTCCCTGCTCAATTTCATGATAACCCCTGAGGGCTTGGAGGACCAGCTGCTCGGGATTGTTGTTGCCAAGGAGAGGTAATACCTGCAAAATGGTTACTTATTTTATTGACCGAAACGTTTTTTTTTTATAGCTCTTTTACTCATGTCATCTACTTGTATTTCCACAGGCCAGAACTGGAGGAGGAGAGAAATGCATTAATCCTGCAGTCAGCTGAAAATAAGAGGCAGCTAAAGGAAACTGAAGACAAGATCCTAGAGACACTGCAGTCCTCTGAGGGAAATATCCTGGAAGATGAGAGTGCCATTCAGATTTTAGACTCAGCAAAGATCATGTCCAACACAATTACCAAGAAACAGCAGGTGTGAATTACACATAAAATCAAAGCTGAATTGTGAATTTGATGTCTTTTAAGTTAATTTGATTGTCTCGTAGTCTAACCTAATGTTTACATCTTTCCAAGATTGCAGAGAAGACAGAGATCAAGATAGCAGAGTCCAGAGAGGGTTACAGAGCTATTGCAAACCACTCGTCCATCCTGTTCTTCAGTATTACTGATCTGACCAACATTGACCCGATGTACCAGTACTCTCTCAGCTGGTTTGTTAATCTCTACATTAACTCCATACAAGACAGGTAAGTGATCCAGGAGGAGTAAACCTGGTTAGTGGTATGGTGAAGTAATGAACTATGACACATCTGCCAGAACTAATAGCTTTTAGTTTGTCTGTGTTATTTGGAAACTTATAAACTGTATTTTGCCTTTTGTTCATCAGTAACAAGTCCAAGATTCTGGAAAGAAGGCTTCAGTTTCTTATTGATCACTTCACCTATAACTTGTACTGCAACATATGTCGTTCTCTGTTTGAGAAAGATAAACTCCTCTTCTCCTTCCTTCTCTGCTGCAAATTACTACTGTAAGTTAAAGTTACAAGCAATTTTGACTCTTACTCTCATGCTTAGTGCAAATCTATGTGGATGTTTACTTTTATATTTGATGCTATTTTTTTTTAATCAATGTTTTCTTCTAAGAGCAAAAGGGGAGATTAAACACACTGACTTTATGTTCCTGCTGACTGGGGGAGTGGGCCTCCAGAACACCACTGCTAATCCCGACCCCACCTGGCTACAGGACAAGAGCTGGGATGAAATCTGCAGAGCCAGTGAACTCCCTGGTTTACGAGGATTGAAGTAACAAGCTTTAATCACTAAAATAAAAATGGCCTCATCATCATCATCATCACTGTTTACCCAATGTGGATTGTTATTTATTTTGCAGAGAAGCTTTCATTAAAAATCCAGATGACTTCAAGTCCATTTATGACAGCAAAGATCCATGCACAATTGGTTTGCCTGCTCCGTGGTGTGAACAGCTCAATGATCTGCAAAAGATGATCATCGTTCGCTGTCTCAGGCCTGATAAGATACTGCCAGCTGTGGCTAAATATGTGAAACGCAACCTAGGGAAGAAATTTGTCCAACCACCTCCCTTTGACCTGAGTAAGAGCTACTTGGACTCCAACTCTGCCATTCCACTCGTGTTTGTGCTGTCTACAGGTGCTGATCCCATGGCTAGTAAGTTCTATAAATCTGTTTTACTGATTTTCAAAGGGCCACATAAAGTTAGTGTCAAATCCTGAAACTAGGAAAACTAACTCTTTTAGAAAAACTAAAACTATCCTTCCACAGGCTTGCTGAAGTTTGCCAGTGACAAGAACATGGGTGGTGCCAAGTTCCAGTCTATCTCTCTGGGTCAGGGACAGGGGCCCATTGCTTCTAAAATGATATCCACAGCCATGCAGGATGGGACATGGGTGTGTTTACAAAATTGCCACTTGGCCGTTTCCTGGATGCCCATGCTAGAGAAAATCTGTGAGGACTTTAGTCTTGCAACATGCCACCAAGACTTCCGCCTCTGGCTCACAAGCTACCCTTCAGCCAAGGTAAAACCCATAAATGAACAACTTTAAGGACTAAATAGATATAACTGTCATCTGAAAGAGCCTTCAGTATAGTAAAAAAAAATTAATCAGTTTCCAGTGACCATCCTGCAGAATGGAGTGAAAATGACAAATGAGCCCCCAACAGGACTCCGTCTCAACCTGCTCCAGTCTTATTTGTCAGATCCTATTTCTGATCCAAACTTCTTCAGCAACTGTCCCAATAAAGAGCTGGTGAGTCAGGAGGAAACCTATTTAGAATTTATTATGCATAATTATGTATTAATTCTATAGGTGTGTAACACAATAAATGAATTTCCTAACTAGATCTGGGAGAAGCTCCTGTATGGACTGTGCTTCTTCCATGCTCTCGTTCAGGAGAGGAAAAAGTTTGGTCCTTTGGGCTGGAATATTCCGTATGGCTTCAATGAGTCTGACCTGCGCATAAGCATCAGACAGCTACAGGTATTTACTCAAAACACTCAGTTGTTGTGTTTCTACCCTGAAAAAAACATCAAAAACTCATTTAATTTCTCTTCCTCTTTAGCTGTTTGTAAATGAATATGACAAGGTGCCCTTGGAGGCCATAACATATCTGACTGGAGAGTGCAATTACGGTGGCCGTGTGACAGATGATTGGGACAGGCGGCTCCTGATGACTATCTTGGCTGACTTCTACAACAAGGACATCATTGAGACTTTTCGCTATCCTTTCTCACCTAGTGGCGATTACTGTGCCCCACCAAAATCTAGCTATCAGGATTACATTCTGTTTATCAAGGTGCAGACATTCCAGAAGCAGTAGTATATATAATTTATATAAAATAACTGCATATAATCTTTAATTTCTTTCAATTTTATGGTATATTACTGACAGCAGTGTCTTTGTTGTACTCTAGGAACTTCCATTCAGCCAGCATCCAGAAGTGTTTGGGATGCACGAAAATGTAGACATTTCCAAAGATTTGCAGCAGACAAAACTACTGTTTGATTCACTGATACTCACCCAGGGTGGAGGCTCCGAGGGCGGAACCCATTCTGAGAGCGACAACATGCTGTACGACATAGCGAATGACATCCTCACCAAGGTACAACTTAATCAAACTTCCTCTTCATTTAGGAGTTTTTAGCCATACCAATGGCATGGTTGGTCCAAACAAAAACATTTCAAATACCAACAGTTGGATTTCCATAGGTTTTTATGCAGAATAATCCTATTAACCTTTGGCAATTACTTAATGTTCCCTTAAGCACCATCACACATCGAGATTTCACTCATTCTGTGAAATACAGCATCTCAGCATTGGCTAAGTTAATTGACACATTTGGGGGGGTTTTTTTAAATAACATTTTTCAGTTCCCAGACACTACTTTCAATTTTACCGACTTTGGTCTTACTTTGTCTCCTCTGTTTTGACTGAAGCCAAATTTCTCAACATCTGTTCAGTGGATTTCAGTAACTGCAGTGCAGGTGGACATATTCCTGCTTCTCCTGGATGAATTAATTTAGGTTGATAACCTCCCTTTTGATAGAGAATTATTTTTATTCTCTGTCATTAGTCAAATAGTTTGGTTAATGACTACTTTATATACTGTGTAAAAGTCTTGAAGCACCCTTAGTTTCTTTATAATTGCTCCCAAGGAGCCACAGTGTTTTGAAAATTGGTCTTCAGCAATAATTTTTCAGGTTTTTTGGAAAGTAAGTCAGTTTTTCTTTGAATGTTGACTGCTTTTTTGTTTTCGGTTATCTTTCGTTCAGTTCTTAAGCCCGACCATTTTCAGAAGAATGTTTTTTGTTATTTTAAGCCACACTGACCTATGACTCATTCAAGCATAAAAAGACACCTAACTCAAGGGATAAACCAGTGTTGTGTCTACACAAAGCAGACAACTTAGCAAAGAGTCCTTTGGCCCTTTCACAAAAACACAGATTTATTTCCCATCACTTTAGTGGAATTTATAAAAAAGTGCCAAAGTCAACAGAGTTTGAGTGCCATAAAATTGCATTTTTGCACCAACAAGGTGATTCCAAGTGAGCTATCCCATATGGAAAAGAAATAGAAAAGACTTGCATCAGATGTGGCCTACTTCATATAGTGAATCATATAAGGCTTATATGATTTACTCATGAAAGTGGCCACTTTCATATATTGTTTTAGTAAGTATCCAAAACATACAAGTTTCATTTATATAATTTTTCTAGGGATCTTATGTCTGTTTTCACTCTTGTATGCTTTTCATACAAGTTTCACACAAGACAGACACAAACTTTATAAGATTTATATGTATCTTTTCCATATGGGATTATCCAAATTGTTTCACAACTTGGCATAGTGTGCAGTGTGTCCTTAAAACATGTGAGGAAACTGGAGAAGTGGAAGTCAAAAAAGAAGTATCAGACCTAAAGAAAAGCCCTACCAGACACCTGAGAGATACATCCGGCTCCATACATATTGGTTCAAACCAATATGTATTGCCAGTATGTACGGAGGAAATGAGTAGACAGGAGTAAGCATCTGCAACCATCTGAGAAACACAGTGGAGCCTCTGTCATGGGTTGGGGTTGCATTTCAGTCAGTAGTGTTGGGGATCTTGTCAAATTTCATGGCATTATGAATGCAGAAAAGTTCTGTCAGATTTTGATCAACCATGCAGTACCAATGGAAAATGTCTGATTGGCAACAGCCTCATTTTTCAGCATGACAATGATCCTACACACACCTTGCCAGTGCATTAAAAGCATACTTGGATAGAAAAACATACAGTAAAACACAATCAGTCATGGATTGTCTTTGCCTGAACTCAGAGGTCAACATTAGTAACAGAACACAAAGCAGCCAACATCCAAAGTGGAGCTCTGAAATGTTCTTTAAGAAGCCTGGAGAACCATTCCTAAAGACTGCGTGCTTATGTCATTTATTTCTATGTATGTTTTCATACTTCAGTATATTTCTGAACCTATATCACATTATCCAAGCAAAAAATAAAGAAATGAGTGATGGCTCAAAACATTTGCACAGCACTGTAAAAAAATAGCATCCCCATTAAACATACATGTGCTTTGTGTTTACTGCTTTGCGTTTCCTCTGGGTATTCCAACTCCCTCTCAGAGACAGTGTAAGGAAGTCCTACTCTCCAGCCATATGGTTTTGGAGGCCAAGTGGTAAAGAAAGTTGATAGATGGATGTATTGTGAGCATGTTAACATATTGTTACTAGCGTATTAGGTACATTTATTTTTTATTGTCCAGATAGCACCAGTATATCTATAACTCTCTACGTTGTACAAACGTTGAGAGTTGTCTGTGCTCTGTGTCCACTTCACCGTGTGTTTATAACTGCCACATTTGCTTATTTCCCTAAGCTCCCAGCTAACTTTGACACAGAAGCAGCTCTCTTGAAGTTTCCTGTGCTCTATGAAGAAAGCATGAACACAGTCCTTGTCCAAGAGATGGAGCGCTACAACACGTATGAACAGACAGCTCTCCACCCTGTTTTAAGCTATATAACCATTGCAACCATTTTTCTTTCATGACTTAACTGCTGTCTTTGCTCTCTCAGGTTGTGCAGTTTGATTCGTATCAGCCTGCAGAATTTGCTGAAGGCTATTAAGGGATTGGTGGTGATGGATGCAGAGCTGGAGGCAGTTGCAGGCAGTTTGGTGGTTGGAAAAGTGCCAGAGAAATGGGCCAAGCGCTCTTACCCCAGCCTCAAACCCTTGGGCAGTTACATTAATGACTTTCTGTCAAGGCTCAAGTTTTTGCAGGTAAGACTAGTGAGCAAAAGTGATTTGAATGAGCAGTTTCAACTCGGCATATCAAAGCTTTGTGCACCTTTTCAGTCTCATTATATTTTCACTTTATTTTGTGTGCCTGTAGGTTTGGTTTAACACCAGCAAGCCCAATGTGTTCTGGCTGTCTGGCTTCTTCTTCACCCAGGCCTTTCTAACTGGGGCCATGCAGAACTATGCCAGGAAATACCACATCCCCATTGACCTGCTGAGCTTCGAATTTGAGGTCTGGAGACTCACACTTTTGGATCTCTCTTCACATGTAAAGATCTTGTCATAGCCCTTAGACATTACTAATTAGTGGTTTGTCGTTTATGATTTTATCTTACAGGTCCTTCCTTTTGACGAGATACAAACAGCGCCTGAAGATGGTGTTTACATTAATGGACTGTTTCTTGATGGAGCTCGGTGGGACAAAGAAAGGTACATGCTCACAGCAGCGTTAGGAATACAATATTGACTATATGCTTATAGCAGTATAGCTTATAAGCTATTACTCTGCAGGAAAAAAGTCATTCACTGTACTTAAGCACACATTTGAGCATTTAATGAAAATATTCTACTTTATGTTGCTTTATATTACATTTCAAAATTAAATATTTATAATACTTTTTATTGGGCTAAATTTATATTTTTTAATATTGGCCCTTTACTTGTAATGGGGATTTTTTTTTAAATATATATACAGGATTTATATAGGATTTTTTTTACTTTGTTCATCACTAGTGAAATATAGGAAGATCTGATAAAGATGGGTTTGTTTGTCTCTCTCTATTATCAGTGGAGTTCTGGCTGAGCAGTACCCCAAAGTCCTCTTTGACTCACTGCCAATCATCTGGGTAAAACCCAGTAAGTATTGTCTGACTTTGTACACTTCTAGAGCTGGTGTTTCAGATCTGCAACAATCTGGATGCAATTAATGTTTTCAGATATCTCTTTCAAGTACATAATTGCTTGTTTCCTTGTATTATTTTATCACCATCTGTCTCCCAATTTTCTGTGTTCCTTTGCTTTCATTTCTGCCCAACAGCTCAAAAGAACAGCGTCAGTCAGCCTCAGAAGATGTACATTTGTCCTCTATACAAGACCAGCGAAAGGAAAGGCACGCTGTCCACCACAGGCCACTCCACCAATTTTGTCATTTCCATGACGCTGCCCACCAACAAGCGCCCACAGCACTGGATCAAGCGTGGTGTTGCCATGCTCTGCCAGCTTGATGACTGAGATCAGTCAGCACATTGCTTTAAGAATCAAATGCTTTACTGCAGCTATTCTCAATCCTGCTTGGATTAGTTTAAATTTAGTGTTGCTTAATACATTAATAAACACAATGTCTATGGCTGATGTGGAGATCTTAATGTAATATAATGTTGGTATTTTCAATTCACAACTTTGTCCATTAATTACTTACAAAATAAAAAAGCTGCTGTGCTTTCACCAGAAATGTTACAGTGAAAGATTAAGCGCATCAGATGTGCTGTTTTCTTTTTTTGAACAGAAAGACATGGAAACAGGTACGCCTCAGTGCTCAGCTGGTGCTGTGTGAGTCCTGATGGAAAAACCTGTCAAAAATTAATTGCGAACACACTGGTTTCAAAATATTTGGCTCACATTTTAAAATATATTTCATGTAGGTTCTTATTTTACTTAATAGGGCGACCGTGGCTCAGGGGGTTGGGAATCGCATCTGTAACCGGAAGGTCGCCGGTTCGATCCCTGGGCTCTCTGTCCTGGTCGTTGTGTCCTTGGGCAAGACACTTTACCCTACTTGCCTACTGGTGTTGGCCAGAGGGGCCGATGGCGCGATATGGCAGCCTCGCTTCTGTCAGTCTGCCCCAGGGCAGCTGTGGCTACAACTGTAGCTGCCTCCACCAGTGTGTGAATGTGAGAGTGAATGAATAGTGGCATTGTAAAGCGCTTTGGGTGCCTAGAAAAGCGCTATATAAATCCAATCCATTATTAATACAACGTTTGACTGCAGTACACAAGAATAAGCCAAGAACATCGCAAACATTCTTCGAACGCTTAAAGGATAGTTACACCTATACGGTATATCATTGCAGTTATGCCTTTACAGTTTTTACATTTAGCCATGTGTCTCCTTGGAATGACTTTTTTCATGTGCTGTAATACTAAGGTGGACACAAGCCCAATAAAATGATCACTCTAAAGATAAAAACATGGATTATACTTAGAAAACCTACTGACGGAGAGCCTCAGCTTCCAAACTAGTTTTGCTGTCTAGACTGATACCTTATTATAAACCTTTTGTCCTTTTTCTCGCTGCTCATTTGCCTTCTTAGTAACCTGTTTGCCTCCTTTTCCCTCAGTGTGAGCTGATACCATCTATAGACTATAAGCTATTAATGTGCAGCAGCAATAACAAGTAGAAAATAAAAGTCTTTTAGGGTGAATCATAACAGATTAAATATAATTGAATTTAGCAGTGTCCTATGCACAAAGAAAACAATCTTGTTAAATCTGAAAAATTGTATTTTAAAATTGTATTTTATGGAGGGGGTGAACTTCCAAAGTGAACCAACTGTTGGTTTGTGTTTGAATATTAGATTTTGCATTATGAATACGATTGCTTATGAGTTGAATGATGGCAGTTGTTACAGTTGCTTAGTGGGTCAAACTAGAAACTGGCTGTGAAGACCTTGTGATCTGATATTTATAGTGTGTGTGTGTGTGTGTGTGTGTGTGTGTGTGTGTGTGTGTGTGTGTGTGTGTGTGTGATGTGTGTGTGTGTGTGATGGTGTGTGTGAGAGAGAGAGAGAGAGAGAGAGAGAGGGCAGGATATAAATAGCCCCAGTATGTGTGGCTGCTAAGGAGCCCCCTGGCTATACTGGTGTTAAAACTACACAGAGAGCAGCTTTTTGACTGAAGGTAAACACCACGCGATGAAAAACATTTTTATTTGGTTAAAAACTTGATTAGTGTGGAGCTTGAATGCCACGCTGTCATATTATACAAACTGTTGCAATAGATGTGGCATTTGAATTTCCATGCTATAACTTTGTGTCGTGTTGCAGTCTCTGCTCTCGTAACAGCATTTCCTCTGCTGCTTTATATGTTCTTTTTAAGAAATGTCCACTGGAGTCATTTGTGAATCTCCATTTGTTTGTTTTGCCGATGCTGAAAGAAAAAAAAAACCCTGCAGCTTCTCAACTGGAGATTTGCTTTTGACACTGAGAGTTATTAGACTGAAAATTGGGACAATAAGTCCAATTAAAGTCATTAGATCCAATATCCTGCATGTATTATGGTGTCAGTAAAGTAAAAACAATGAGACTGACTGCCACATTTCCTGCTTAGCTGCACTGTGTTGCAGTTGTTATTCAGGACTGTGAGTGGTGTGTGATTTAATGCTCTTGTTTACCTTATAGCTGTGCCTCCTCAGAGTAACCCCTTCTGCACTGGCTCTTTTTACACTTGTCAGATGAGCATGGAAACAGAAGATGACTTTTATCAATCAGAGGAAGACTTGGACGAAGATGAGGCAACGCAATATATTATTGAACAAAGTCTAATTCAGTATAGAAAGCTAAAAGGATTAAATCCAAGGTTTCTATCTACTCACCCAGCATTCAAATATAAGTATCTATATTATGAATGTCTTGTTTGTTTAAGTGAATCCTTATTCTGTGCAATAACTTTAAATAGTGATCTGAAACCTTGTGAAGACCCTGATGAGATTTTTAAAGCAATTAAGGAGGGTAAGCTGATGATCTTTAACCTCAGCGCTGATTCAGACAATTCTGAATCTTTCTCAAAGATCTGATACGTCCCGTCTTCATATTCAGGTGATGAGAATGCCCTGAACAGACTTGCAGCCCAACCAGAGACTCTGTCCAGAGTTGATACACGAGGATGGATCCCGCTGCACGAGGCTGCGGCACAGCAGAATAAGAAGGTGCTAGAGATTATCTTTTCAGGTAAATGTTGCTGTAACTTTTGACTGGCACAGGCTTGTTCATTTCAACCCTGAGGTGTTGATCGGTTCCTGGGTGTTTGGGTTCCAGCATCACCCCCGGGTGCAGCCCAGTGTCGCACTCTGAAGGGTGAGACGCCACTGTTTTTAGCTGTGGTCCACGGGCTCAGAGAGAATGCTACACTCCTGTTACAGAATGGTAGCAACCCAGATCTCCAGAATGACGAGCAGGATTCTCCATTAGTGGCAGGTATCTCGCGCTATGTTCGTCTAACTTCAAACACATTTTATTTTAGAGATACCTCAACACGTGTGACTCTTTCTCATCCTTTTCTCTCCTGCTCCTTTTGCTCACAGCTCTTCTAAATGATCAGTATGATTTGGCCACGCTGTTGCTTCGTTACAATGCCAAAATAGACCAAACCGGACCACTGGACAGGACAGCTCTACATGAGTCCGCGTTTTTAGGCTTGGAGAATTTTGTGTATCTGCTCTTAGAGTCTGGTGCTAATCCAAATGCATGTGACGTTAAAAAGAAAACTCCACTGGCTCTGGCTGCACAGAATGGACATCTAAATGTGGTGGAGGTTCTGTTACAGAAAGGTAAATGTAGTGATTCAACCTCCTTTTGCTTTTACATATGTATATAAGTAAATGCGTGTTCTCATAGTGCTTTAATTCATTTTTTAGGTGCACAGGTGTGGTGTGAGTCGGAGTCAGGTACGATTTTGTTTGATGCAGCGGCATCAGGAAATCCTGACATAATCTCCTTGTTGCTGGAACACGGTGCAGATCCAAACGTACCCCTTTATAGTGGGCACCTGCCAATTCATCGAGTGGCATACCATGGACACAGACTGTGAGCATTATCTATACTTATTTTCCTGAATTTTTAAATAGGGTTTCAACCAATATCATGTTCTCACATAAAGATTTTTTTTTTGGGTTGTTTTTTTTACAGAGCACTGGAACATCTCATCCCAGTGACGAAGCTGCATGCTGTAAAGGAAAGTGGGATGAGTCCTCTCCATTCTGCAGCTGCTGGGGGACACGCCCAGTGTGTGGAGATACTGCTCAAAGCTGGCTACGATCCAAACTTCATGCTGCACCCAAGGATCCGCCGCAACTATGATGATGACCGCAAGTCTGCCCTCTTTTTTGCTGTGTCCAACAATGACCTCCAGTGCACCCGCTTACTGTTAGAGGCCGGGGCTCTCGTGAACCAGGATCCCATCAACTGTCTACAGGTGGCTCTGAGACAGGGCAATTATGAACTGATCAACATCTTGCTGAAGTATGGGGCAAATGTCAACTACTACTCCCGTGTCAACACCACTCATTTCCCCTCAGCGCTGCAGTATGCCTTAAAAGATGAGGTTATGCTGAGAATGATCCTGAACCATGGTTATGACGTGAAGCGCTGCTTTGACTGTCCATATGGTGACAGTTCCCATGATTACACTGCTTGGACGACGACAGTCATTAAAGACATGGTGGTGAGGCCATGTTTATGCTAAAAAAAATGATAAAGAGTGGAACATGTGAAGTGCAATGGAGTAATGCTATTCTACAAAGTTTCAGATTGACTGTCACATCTCTCTTTCCTTTCTAGTTCTGTGAGGTGATAACAGTATCCTGGCTGAAGCACTTATCTGCCCAGGTGGTGCGCATCATGCTTGACTACACTGACCACGTCTCCTTCTGCACCAAACTAAAGGACACACTGCAGGAGCAGAAACAGTGGCCAGAAATCTGCCACATTCAAAGTATGAACTGCTCACTACCTGTTGTCAGCAAAAATGTGCGCTTCATCTGTAGTTGCTGACTTTTTTTGTCTGACAGGAAATGTGCGGAGCCTGAAGCACCTGTGTCGCCTGCGGATAAGGGAGCACCTTAAACGCCTGCGTTTGAGAGCACCAGCTTTTATCAACTTCCTTCCTCTTCCTCCCAGGCTGAAAGATTATCTGCGTTACAAGGAGTTTGACATTTACAGCAGGGGCAGTATGATTATCCCCTGATGAAAACACATTTATAGATATCAAAGATGTCACTCTTTTATAGAAAGCTTCCTGCCTTAATATTATTATGTGTGATTAAAATTACATTACTTATACAGTCAAAAAATGTGAACATAAATTGTATTCACCTTTTAAATATCTATCAGAGACGTATATATGAGAGCAGCGGGACATTGGTGGGTAACAGTTTGTTTGCAGATGACATGGCGATCTGTAGTGAGAGGAGGGAGCTGGTGGAAGAGAACCTGCAGAGGTGGAATATGCGCTGGACAGAGGATGAATGAAAGTCGGTAGAAGCAAGACGGAGTACATGCGTCTACATGAGAGGGAGATAGGTGAAATGATGAAGATGCCAGAAGTAGAGGTAGTGAAGGTTAGATGAGTTCAACCAGCCAAAGCAACAGACAGAGCACAAAAGAGAAGTGTAGGTAGGGTGGAGATGAGTGTCAGGGCTGATTTGTGACAGAAGGATAGCAGCAAGAGTGCAAGATAAATGGTGGAGACAGTGACAAAAACACGGGCCAAATGGAGGTGGCAGTCTAAAATTTTTGATGGGAATGACCAGGATTAGTACAAGATTAGGAATTAGTATATCAGAGGGACAGCTCAGGTCGAGTGGTTTGGAGACAAATTTTCAAAGGCTGACATTGTTTGTACATGTGCAGAGGAAGGATAGTGGATACACTGGACAAAGAAATCTGAATATGTTAGCATCCAGCCAGAAGTCAAAGAGGAAGACTGCAGAGAAGGGTCATGGATGCAGTGAAGGAGGACAAGCAAAGGGTTGGTGTGATCCACTATGGCGACTCCAAAAAGGAGCAGCAAAATAATAATAATAATAATAATAATAATAATAATAATAATAATAATAATAATAATACCCTTTAAATATCGATTTTACTTACTGTAGAGGTTTACGTTTATTGAGTCATGTATGAAGGCAAGTGTATTACCGATACACATATGAAAATCACAGCCTCTCTGCTACCATCTAGTGGTAGAATGGGGTATTACAAGCGTGATTGCTCTGTATTTAGTTCTACACAAGATTTTAATACATTTTTAATACATAGAATAGAATAGAATTAGAATAGAATTCAACTTTATTGTCATTGCACATGCACAGGTACAGGGCAACGAAATGCAGTTTGCATCCATCCAGAAGTGCTTTAGTGATATAGATATATTACAATATATATTAGCAATAACATAGATATGTAAGTATATTACAGAAATGGGTCTATTATGGTATGTTATAATGTACACGGTATGAAGTATGTTGTGAATATTCTATAACTATAAGTATGTACAGGCTGTAGTCTTTAATATGTCTTTAAGACGCCCGAAAATACATAGCAGAGCCAGTACTAAAAAAAGAAAAGAAAAGAAAAGAATCGGTTTGCATAAGTCACACTGTCAGGGCTTTCACAGCTCCAAAGCGGTGTTTCACATCCTCTTTCTTTTTCTCTTTTATTTAATGTGAGAAATAGTTTCACTTTTGCCATCCTGTTCCCTCCACACACAGCCAATCAGACGGACGGTCACCGCGTCATGTGTTGCAGTACGCCTATCGGTCGCTGGGTGGCGCGGATTCCCTCGTATGTAAACAGTGACGGCAGCGTTTTGCAGTGGTGGAGAAGACCGTGTACGTCATTTTCACAATGGCGGAGGCTGGGTGAGGAGGAGAGTGTGTGTGTACAGCGGCGCCGTAATCGTCAGAGCTACATTGTCTTTAATACGTGCACGGTGCCCTAAAATGGCCCTGAACCCCAGCGCGGTGGGAAAAAGGGACTCAGACTATACCGAGACGACGGATCTCCACCCGAAAGGTGGCGAACCCCAGAAGAATTCAGCCGCCACCTCGGCCACAGCCAACCAAAATGGCGATCAGCCTGGATGTGGAGACAGTGTAATGCCCGAACAAGAAGCCCCTGAGCGGCGGAGGAGCATGCAGGCGGACGCTCGGAGCTTCAGCAGTTCTCCTCTGCCTGCCCAGAGATCGACCGATGAGCTGCCACGGAGAAATTTCCAAATCCCGAGGAAGATTCGCGAACGGAAAGGTGGTGCCATATCGCAGCTATTTTGAACAGAGCCTGTCCTGTCTTTCATAATTCTGCTGCTGCATGTTGCTAGCCTGCTAGCTAGCTACCTGCTTTCGCCAGTTATATTGGTTTAGCTAAAGGTTTGCGAACATTTCGGCTTCGGGCTAGATTACCATGCTGCAGTTTGAGCAGGCGAATAATGTCGGTTGGCGTAGCGTTTGTTTGCAGGCATGCCGCTAGCTGTGGTAGTCCAAGTTAACCAGCGGGCAGCAACGGTGCAGCGAAGGCGCCACTTTGAAAGACTGGCCATCTGAAAGCACACCTTGTTCCGTTTCCTCATCCCTACCCGGCACCGTAGTACTGTTGAGTAATACAGCAGGAGTCATGAGTGGTTTGCAGTCATCACCTGACAACATGTGGGTGTCTCTTTGACCTCAGTGAAGGGCACGGATTTATCCACCCCACACGTCCATCCCGGAGTGTTTTCATAGCACCATGGTTCATTTGGTGGGGCTGCCCACCCCTTAACCCAGCTTGATGTCGCTGGCATTTCAGAGCATCAGTTTTGCACTTCACCTGAGTACCCCTGAGAGCATTACTCTGTGCACCCACCTACCTACGTTACACCCGCCCTTCCCCTTCCTTCTTGCAGAAAGGTGGATGGGCACTGTTGGTTACATTTTCCACAACTATGCTGTGGAGCATCTGTTATTTGGATATATGCAAAGTCCTATTGAAGTGGAATTATTCTAGCACTATAGGTTGCATAAGTAATTTATAAAGTGTGTTAGTTTCCTAACAGCAATGAGGTACACTGGGCTGCCCCAGTACCCCGTCTCCAGCCTTTTTGTCATTTTGACTTACAGTGGAGAGGTTTACTGTTATCACACAGGCTTGAGGATGTTGACATTTCATTCAGGTTGTCTGCTAGTCATGGTTTCACTTCTTTGCATGAGTTTGGATTACTTGATAATCCTTATGTAAACAAATGCAGGTACTAGACTTCATCCACTGTGTCAGTGTAGCTGCCAGGATTGTAAAAAAAAAAAAAAGCACTGGGCACTGGTGTTACGTGCACCATCGAATGCCCATGGTTATTTTGTATATTTAATATTTCAAATGATAACACGTGACATTCATATTCAGCTAAAGCCTAAGAAGGAACCATACGCTTTAGACTTAAAGTCTTACGGCGAGGTTGTTTTTTAAATGAGGGAGATGGTTGGTTATCAGTTTGATGTGGCTGCCTCCTGCAGGTTAAATTTCAGTTTAAAATGTGACTTTTCGAAGGGATCGTCCTCTGCTCATTCGCTCAGTCCTGCAAACTGCAGATGGGAAATGCTAATCCGCTGATTCGCTTCTGTGTGCAGGCTTGTACCAGTTTCTCCCCCCCGAGAGCCGGGAGTTTGAGGACCTCGTGAAGATCATCTCCTCGTTTTACCTGGACGCATCATCACGAGGAACCTTCACCTACTGCAAGGCCAGGCTAATTCACAATGAGCTGCTGGAGAAGGAGGTCAGTCGTCAAGTTTCTGGATAAAATGGCAGGCAATTTAAATAGCTGTGCTGAAGAAATGTTAAATATTGCGAGGTTGCCCCCGTGTCTAATTTACTGTCTGCTCGCCTTTTCTTCGTCAGTTCATAGAAAAGCGGAGAGAGATGAAGCAAGAGGGGCGGACCGAACAAGAACTCGCTGAGTCGTACTGCTTCCTTTTCCCAGACAAATCCAAGGTTGGCCTGCTGGCAAAACCTCACTCATATATGCAGAAGGATATTGACAAATTGGGAAGGCGCGGAGGTTTTTGACTTGCTTGAGCTTTGCCTGTTCTGTGTTTTCCAGCTCCAGTGGATCTGTGAGAAGGGTTTATCAGTTGGACACTGTAAGATTAATACACTAGGAAATCCATCAGTGGGTAAGCCGGGTGCTCCCATGTTGCTGTTATATGAAAATGGGCTTTGCAGAATAATTAGTTGAATTCCTTTTTATTTTACTTATCTGCAAGTTTCACAAGCATTTTACAATTGCCTCTGAAGTCTAAGGTAATGGCTCTTACATATGCAATAATATATTAGTCCAATGTTTATTACATACTTTGTTTTCGGATACATCGTTTCTAAGTAATATTAACAAGCATCAGCAAGTAATTGACATAAACGTAGCCTATTAGAAATGTTTTCCCTTAATTTGTTTTTTGTAATCCTTGTAGGTGTTTACCTCTCCAAATATTCCGATTTGTTACAAATCAATCCTTTTGAAGTGGGCGCGTTTGGAGACATGATGATTTTTAAAGTTATGAGGGTATGAATACCTTATCTGTGTTTTGCATTAGAGCTTTGACAGTTCTCTGTTTCCATTTGGACTTTGAGTCAGTAGTTGCATTTTGTCTCTCAGGGACGAATAAAGCACATCCACGAGAACACGCCGAAGAATGCAATCGAATCTTCACCCAAGTTTGACTGTCACTTGTCCAAAAGTGCCAACAGGGTTACATCTCTGCTGTCTTACAGGGCTTTTGAGCTCACGCAGGTAAGTGCTGGTTCCTCTTTATTACCCTGTTTATTTAATCTGGTGTTCCGTCGCGCATTAGCCAGGTTCTCTAAAAGGTCCCTTCCTGTTAAAAGAAAGTTCTTCCTCCCCACTCTCAGCAAATGCTCGTAGTGGGTAGCTGGGTTCTTCCTGTGTAATCTTGCGCAGTTGTTGTTGGGATCTAGTGCTGTGTTTTAATCCATCTTCATTTGTGTGTTGCAGCAATATTTTTTTGAGTTTGCATTTGATGAGATCAAAGCGCGGCCCAGGCACGTGTGCCCCTATGCTGTGGTTTCCTTTCAGTACAAAGGCAAGGAAGCTGCAGCAACTCCTATGGCTGCACACAGGTACGTAATCCCGCAGGAAATGGTAAAACCCAGAAAGCATTTCTAGGCCGTTGAAGTTTTTTAAAAAAAAACAACAAAAGTATTACATCTCCGCTGAGTTTGTAAACAGCCTCTATGTTTTGCTCTTTAACAGGTTTAACACTATTTCCTCTGAAGGGAGTAAAGGTAATGGTATTTAAGCTTTTCTTAAATGTAATCAAAGAAATTGGCTTCTTTTGTGTTGTGTTAAAATAGTGCCACGTGTGTGTAAACGTAATAATATATGAAGTGGGTCTGTGCAATAAGAGAAAAATCTATGATGTGCTATTACATGACTTAGGCTAAATAAACAAATACTGAAGTGGGGCTATAAGATATATGGTTCATGTGTCTTGCTGCTAGCTTTTAAGACACCAAATGTGTCTTGAAATGAGGCAGCAGTTACAAAAAGTTATGAAGTATCATGCCTGATGTCTGTGTATGTCTGTGAAGGTTCTCAGTCATCCAGGTCATCGTAGTCAAAGGAGCTTGCAAAGAAAAGCGTCTGGACTTCTTTAAGTTGCTTGAAGACGTTTCACCTCTCATCCGAGAAGCTTCTTCAGTTCTAAGGTCAAATGGTGGGGAGTCCCAGATATAAACCTAGTGGGAGTTTCCCCCCACAGAGGGACAAAAGGAACTCCTGATGATCCTCTAATCGCCTGAGCCAAGGTGTGAAACTGGGTGTGGGTCCCAATCAGCCAGAGTTTCGGGTGTGCTCATTGAGAGAGTTCAGGAGAGTTTTCTCCAAGCATGACATCCCGGTGCATTTCAGACCCAGCAACACGCTCAGACAAAAACTGGTTCACCCGAAAGACAAAACGCCAAAACACAGACTTAACAATGTGGTGTATGCTGTACAGTGCAGCGAGGAATGCCCAGACCTCTACATTGGAGAGACCAAACAGCCACTTCACAAGCGCATGGCACAACACAGAAGAGCCACCTCCACAGGACAAGACTCAGCAGTCCATCTGCATCTTAAGGATAAAGGACACTCTTTCGAGGATGCCAATGTTCACATTTTGGACAGAGAGGACAGATGGTTTGAAAGAGGAGTGAAAGAAGCCATCTATGTCCACTGTGAGCGACCATCTTTGAACAGAGGCGGTGGTTTACGACACCAACTCTCTGCCATCTATAATCCAGT